CCTAGGCCAAAATCGATGGCTGTGACGTCATGAGCGTAATATCGGGAATGAAAAGGAAAGTAGAATAAAGATTAAACTCGAATTTTCATTCAACTGTTCAATTTATTACTAATTGATTCTTCGGCAACAATACGGTCATTCGTATATAGGGGAGCTAGTGCATGTACCGCCCACCTAAGGGAAATGAGTCGTTTTTTTCAGCTCGGCTCTCTACAAGCAATCATAAACGGTTAGAATGGGTTCTTCGACGTGTTCACTCGAAGATGTGAAGAGGACAGATATTTCATTAACATTAAACATATTGAATTATGCGATTCAATTGCCATCGGCCAGTGACCGATGGAATCGAACTTTGAGGGTAATACCGCCCGGCATGCGTCCAATACCGCCCACCTTGTTTTGATGACTTTTTTAAGCAATGCAGACCAACTAATATAATTTTTCCAATTTTCATCCTTCGTTTCCATTGTTTGGCTCCATTTTGAGCAAGATTTCACGTGAATAATAATAAATTATCCTGAATTTACCCGATGTTCCAGTGGCCACCCACTACCCCAAACAATCGAGCTGTCACTCGACCGCCCTCTAGCTGCAGAGTCTAGCAGCCCTATAGAAACCCTGGACGGCATTACCCACAAACTCTGGGCGGAATTACCCACAAACGCGGAGGCTCATAAAACAGCCAATAATAACTGGTGAAAATATTTTTCTGCTATCGAAAAGGTCGCAATGGATGTGGACATGTATTACGAACATATATTTCGCACTCCATTCGATTATGGGCCAACTGAAAATTTGAAAAATCTTAAATTCTGGGGTCGAAATATTTTAAGAATTCGGTAGGAAATGATTTGGATTTTTTTAACGATGTTTCCACGGGAGAAAATGGAAAATTTCTGTTGAAATTAATTAATTTAAAAAAAGAAAAAAAAATTCTCAGTCAAGCCTGAGAAATAAGGGTGGGCGCTATTACCCGCGAAAGAGGAAGGATTAGTCATTATTAACTAATGGATTTGGTTGGAGGCTAGGGTTTATTCGGTCTCGCCAAATATTCATTCGTTAATAATTAACAAATACATATTTGAGGAGCCTTGTTTGACTCGACTTCCACCTTTCAAGTAAACTGTTCGATTTAATTTCTTACTCACTCGTATTTTCTCAACAGTCCATTATTTTTTCGGACATACGAAAATTTCCCTGATTGAGAGTGAGGGAACCTCGATCTTACCGCTGAAGGAGCTACCAGAATATCTAAAATTCATTTTTCTTCTTGAAGTCGAGCTATATAAAAAAAATACAAAAAAAATTCTCAATGGTGCAGCATACTCAGATACTTCTCCCATGAATTTGTCATTTATTTTTCATTACTTTGAGTTTTCACACGGAACCTCTTAATTCAGAACTAATTACAACCCTGAGAATTCGAATGTGATCATAATCCCCGAGGAATCTAATAACCAGAGAATGTACTCAGAGAATTCCCCGAGCATCTACTAATATTACGACTCATCGTACATGAAACGCTAGTTGGTTGTCTCTACGGAGCTAAGATGAGTGCAATGAACGTATCTGGATTTACATCGATGTCCCCAGCATTCCCCTGTGACACTCAGCATCGTCAATATCGCCTTTATAAACCTGCAGATGTGAGACGCGTCTGGGCTATTCCATTTTAAGTGGTTGAAATAGTTGTTAGGTGCGCCGTGACACCGGGAATTTGAAGTATTTGGGAACAATTTGTTGCTGTGAAGGTTTAGGGCACGGAGAACACAATTCGAGAAAAATTACCGAGCAAGTCAAGTAATCGCGGAGCGAACTCGATTTTCGGTATCTTTGCACCCTACACTGTTAGAAATTTTTTGAAATTTCATGGAAGATATTATAATAATGAGAGTGACATTGGATCAGATTTAGGGACATAATCGTTATGAAATTTCAAGTCTTAAGTGGAATTCACGGAAATTCATGAGTTTTCAGTGGGAGCAAGATGGAAATTTCACAACTTGAATTTTCAGTGGAACATGAGTATTCAGAAACAAAATGACATGAATTTTTAACTTTTCCCTCAGTTTTCCTGATTTTCTGAATTTTCACAGAATAATTGAACTGAAAAATTAAGTGTTTTATTGATTTTCAGATCATTTAAACAGAAAATCAATGGAATATCTGATTTTTCAATGACAAGATTTTCCGAAATTTCAGTAGAATTTGAACACGATCAAAATTTCCGAAATTCGGCACGGAAAATTCAGACGATAATTTTTAACAGTCTATATTGGGGAGAAAATATGAGGCCAAGAATGAATTTTTCTACATTCACTGTTAGAAAAAGAAAAAAAATTCATGGACAGTTGACTACTAATTTTCAGGACAGTGACACTGAATGCGATTTAGGGAGAAAAATCATGAAATTTCAGGTTTCACTGAAAATTCAGTAAAATTCCAGAATTTTACGCAACATAAAGACGAAAATTCCTTAATTTATTTGAATTTCCAATCTAATATGAATATTCAGTGTCAAATTACTTCAAATTTTCAGTGAAATCTGAAATTTCATGATTTTTCACTGTCCTGAAAAATCAAAAATATATTTACCGGAATTTTCAAGTTTTCTATTCATTTTCAGGGGACAATGGAACGAAAATTTACAGTTGTGTTTGATTTTTCCATGAAATTCTGAATCTTCAATGACAAGATTTCCTGAATTTTCAGTGGAACTTGAACACGATAAAAATTTCCGGAATTTGGCACAGAAAATTCAGATGGAAATTTTTAACAGTGTCTAGCGGGGAAAAAGTGTGAAACCAATAGCCAATTTTTCTCCATTCACTGTTAGAAAAAAACATGAAGTTTCGTGGACAATCGACTATTAATGTTCAGGACAGTGACACTGAATGTCATTTAGAGAAAAAAATGATGAAATTTCAGGTTGCACTGAAAATTCTGTAAAATCCCAGAATTTTCTTCAGCATAAAGACGAGAATTCCTTAATTTATTTGAATATCCTATCTATAATGAATATTCAGTGCCAAATTACATTGAATTTTCAGTGAAATCCGAAATTTCATTATTTTTTCCCCCTAAATCGCATTCAGTATCACTGCCCTTTTCTATTAATTTTCCGGGAAAAATAGAACTGAAATTGACAGTTCTCTTTGATTTTTCCATGAAATTCTGAATTTTCAAAGATGAAATTCCTTGAAATTTCAGTGGTAATTAAATTCAATAAAAATTCCCAAAAAGAGTACCAGAAATTTTTGACAAAATTTTTTAACAGTGTTGGCCAGTGTGTAACAGTGTTCGCAAATATAAAATTTATCCCGCATTCCTGCATATCCTGCATTACATTATCCGGGATTATTTATTGGAAATATTTCCATCTAACGCCAACATGACATTTTTATCTTCCAATAATATGTCACTTCCAACTCTCATTAATTATCACCGAGGAAAAGAATGTAAAGGTTCTCGAGCAAAGAACGTAAAGGGTTCCAGCCAACAGAGAGCTCCAGAAATTCCTCGGATGCAAATTGCAAATTGCATTTTTCAGCCCATTAAAAACTTCGTAATTACATGGAAAGGGGGTAATTAATATTTCACGGCATTGGGATGAACATGGAATCGATATTCAATTTGCGATGTAATTGTAAAAGTTATGGAAATTGATAAAAATTCAGGCAGCCGTGGGTTTACTCGGAATGAAGGAAAATTGCATTTCCGTAGCACTTAGGGAGACTCTTCGGAATAATTTGATTGTGTAAGTTCCGTACATGCTTCAATGGAAGATACCTCGGGGTGGTATTAATGAGGCTTTCAATAAATGCGGAAGGAGCGAATTCATAAGCCGAAGTAGGTTGAGGGATATTCTGATGGAAATTTTGACAAACGAATTTTCTGGAACGGAATTCAAACTAAGTGGATTATATCACGCAGCTGTTACATCTGTGACAGCAGTTATTAATGCACTTACACTGTTGGAATTTTTTTGAAATTTCATGGATGATATTATAATAAATCTCATGAGAGTGATATTGAATCGCATTTAGGAAAAAAATGGTTATGAAATTTCAAGTTTTAAGTAGAATTCACGGAAATTCATGAGTTTTCAGTGGTAGTGAAATGGAAATTTCACAACTTGAGTGAATTCTCAGTGGAACATGAATATTGAGAAACAAAATGACATGAATTTTCAATTTTTCCCTGAATTTTCCTGATTTTTCTGAATTTTCACAGAATAATTCAACTGAAAAATCAAGTATTTTATTGATTTCCAAATCATTTGAACAGAAAATGGATGGAATATTTCATTTTCTAATGACAAGATTTCCTGAAATTTCAGTGGAACTTGAACACGATAAAAATTTCCGGAATTTAGCACAGAAAATTCAGACGAAAATTCTTCCTATCCAAATTTCAGCTAATAGAATTCCACTATTCGACTGTTATTTTATACAGTCAACACGGTATTCAACTAATAATTTTTGATAATTCCACTGGTAATTTTTCATGTTGATATTTATATGAAAAACAAAAGATTCCCTGGTCGAGTGAGCCCCTCATTGGAACTGACAGATGGATTTTGTCTCACAGTGGAATTCTGTTGTCCGGGATTCGGATGGAAAAATTCTCCTTCGAACACCACTCGAGCTTCAAAATTAGTCAGGTATTTCCCGTAACATTCCCTGCATACAAATGAACTCCTCAAATTTTTCATGAGACACTTGACTCCTTCGTTTATTTGCAACGAAACTATCGGGAAATACCTTATAATTTTGAAGCTCTTGTGGTATTAGATCCGAAAATTGTCAACAGTTTATGCGACAAAATGCCAATAAACATTTCATCCATCCGAGCGATTTATCTCTAAGAAAAGTTTTGCGGCACGTGGAAAAAATGAAACATCACTCATTCTGGCGATGACTCCGGGGAAATTAAAAAATTGCCAAGTTTATGTGTACGGATGATTGATGATTTTCAATGGTTTCCGATTTTTGTTTCAGGCTGAAATATGGAGTGTTTTCATCGCGATATTGAGGAAGAGTGTGAGGAACCTCCAGGCGTGCACGGATGTGAGCCTCATCGAGCACGTACTACATCGTTTGTCAAGGGCAGAAACAGTTGTTGCAGGTAATGTTTCATTTTTAATTGAAAAAATGGAAATTATTGAATCAAGGCTGTTATTCTTAATTTGTGAATTTTCGTTTTGTTACATGCAGAATGCCAAAATGTTGAAGTTAAGAGATTTTTTTAATGATTTATATGCGATTTGAGGTAATCTTGATATTTAATGGACATCGCTTATAATTGGAGAAATTTTTTGCTACAATTTCTTTTCGTTAATGAACAAATTCAATATAAAGAAAATCATCTTGTCTAAACTCTTTCCTTGACCCACCCAACAAAGTCTCGATTTCATTTGATATCAAGATTACCTCATTTCATTAAAAATACACAAAAAAAAATGATTCAAGTTGTTCCAGGCTTGACCCAGGTGGATATTCTACTTGTATTATGGATTATTTGAAGAAAGAGTGAGCCTACTTGATTCGAGTAGAAATTAATTTCTGCTTGCGTCAAGCAAAGGAATTTGACCAAGATTATAGGAATGTGCATAACTCCTTAACTACTTTTACCTTGAATATTTTGTTACTTACTACTTGGACTGTTTTCAAGTACCAAGTACTTGATGTACTTAGACTCCACACGGAGAGAAATATGCAAGAAAAATTACGGAACATTTTACGTAATCCGCAAGCGAGAATCGTTTTCAGTGAAGTTCTATGGGAATATAAGAGAATAAATCTGAAACGTTCAGTAAATTTTCGGGTCTGTCACCGAAAAAATACGAAAAAGTCACGTAATTTTTCTGGAAGTTGTAAAATCTAACAGAAACTTCTAGACTTATTATGGCTCAGAACATGAAAATTCTTGAATGTTTAAGAATTTTTACGAAAAGTTCCGGAAAAATTACGGAACGTGTTGTTAAAATCTCCCCCTCACGGTGACTCATGGTTAGCCGTGAGGCGTCGGACGGATGAGTAATTTTTACGGAACAGATCGTAGAATTTACGTGACGATTGACACTTTTTATTGAATTTTACTTCGCTCCCAGATTACGTTTCGAAACGTAATTTTTACGACTTTTTTCTGGTAATTTTTATTGAATATTTCTCTTCGTGCAGATATAAATTTCACACTTCAGATGGAAAACAGACCTCTGAATTACCATAAGTGCCTGAGATTCGCCAGAATGTCTGACATTTTCAGATACAACTTGTGTCTCCAAAGGACCGAAGATTTTTTCATCTAAAGAATTTCAGGCCTTTATTTTCAGTTTTTTTCCCTGTTCTACTTTTTTTTGACTGAGGCACGTTTATCTTGTTCGACCCTATAGACAGGGTCGAACCAAAGATTCGTGACTTTAAATATGGGTGACCTAGGCAGCTAATATGAATTTAAATTTTCTTTGAGACACCTCATGCAATAATTATAGGTATTCAGGTAGACATACGGGACCTCCCAGTCAACTCCTCCCTTCAAGAGGTATATAATTTTTAAAATTATATATTCGAAATTTCAATTAAATTCAAGAACGCAAGGTATGGCAATTTTTACAACAAGCCATACCAGCGTTTAGTGTTACCCAGGGTTCGCGACATGGACGCAGCTGGTATGCGCACCCAGGTTAAACACTGGGCTGGTGTGTCTCTGCCGCCATAACCAAACTTTCCACGCGTCTTCCAGTTTCTATTAGCATCTTCCCATGTCAGTCGTCAGGATAGATAGTCCTCAGCTATTAAAAAAAAATTCTAACTACCTGTACTACACAGTTTAGATGATGATAAATAATGAAATGCGGGCTGTTAAAAAAAATCAAATTTTCAAGTTTTACCGGCATGGTCCTCGATTACTATGTTCACATAGTAATTTTTTAATTACTGACGACGATGATTTGGTGGTTAGAGCGCAGCCCACCAAGGTAGTGGCTTGTTGGGGGGATGGTGGTTTTCTGTGGCTTGGTGGTTTTTAAAAATTCCAAGAGAATTAGAATTTAGAGAGAAAAAATTTCCGCTTCACCCCGCCGGGAATCGAACCCGGGTCTCCCAGATACGCGCCGGGCACTCTTACCAACTAAGCTACCGGGAACTCCCTTACTTGATTATTTGATTAAGTCTATTTCATGTTGCCAACCCGGGTTGACACGCGGACGACTCGGGTTCGATTCCCGGAAGGGGGGAGGGGCAAAATAATTTTATAATGCTCTAATTCTCACAGATTCATTGCCCGAGTGGGAGTCTCGCAAGGGACGACTGTAACTGGTCAAGGTTTTTCCCTCAAGTGAGGTTTTTCCTTGGCCCTCGGCGAATGCAGTACAGGGGGTTGAGGGGACGGAAGGGAGAAAACCGTAAAAACCCGAGAAGGTATAAGACAAGAACAAAAAAATATTGATTAAATTAATTGATTAATTAATTCAAAATTTAAATTTTTCAGTAATTTTTCAATTTGATATTCTCGTGTACCGACGTCCAATGGTCGCGGTGGCTAAATCGTTAGTTCGGCTTGGCCACTAGGAGGTCGTGGGTTCGAATCCCAGTCCGGTCGGGTTTTTTGGCTTCTGGAAACAGGGGTTGGGGGCTCGAAAGGGTGGCTGGGCTTCGGATCGCGACTGGGGGGGACCCTTAACTTCCGGTAAAGGGGGTTAAGGNATGTTTAAGAATTTTTACGAAAAGTTCCGGAAAAATTACGGAACGTGTTGTTAAAATCTCCCCCTCACGGTGACTCATGGGTAGCCGTGAGGCGTCGGACGGATGAGTAATTTTTACGGAACAGATCGTAGAATTTACGTGACGATTGACACTTTTTATTGAATTTTACTTCGCTCCCAGATTACGTTTCGAAACGTAATTTTTACGACTTTTTTCTGGTAATTTTTATTGAATATTTCTCTTCGTGCAGATATAAATTTCACACTTCAGATGGAAAACAGACCTCTGAATTACCATAAGTGCCTGAGATTCGCCAGAATGTCTGACATTTTCAGATACAACTTGTGTCTCCAAAGGACCGAAGATTTTTTCATCTAAAGAATTTCAGGCCTTTATTTTCAGTTTTTTTCCCTGTTCTACTTTTTTTTGACTGAGGCACGTTTATCTTGTTCGACCCTATAGACAGGGTCGAACCAAAGATTCGTGACTTTAAATATGGGTGACCTAGGCAGCTAATATGAATTTAAATTTTCTTTGAGACACCTCATGCAATAATTATAGGTATTCAGGTAGACATACGGGACCTCCCAGTCAACTCCTCCCTTCAAGAGGTATATAATTTTTAAAATTATATATTCGAAATTTCAATTAAATTCAAGAACGCAAGGTATGGCAATTTTTACAACAAGCCATACCAGCGTTTAGTGTTACCCAGGGTTCGCGACATGGACGCAGCTGGTATGCGCACCCAGGTTAAACACTGGGCTGGTGTGTCTCTGCCGCCATAACCAAACTTTCCACGCGTCTTCCAGTTTCTATTAGCATCTTCCCATGTCAGTCGTCAGGATAGATAGTCCTCAGCTATTAAAAAAAAATTCTAACTACCTGTACTACACAGTTTAGATGATGATAAATAATGAAATGCGGGCTGTTAAAAAAAATCAAATTTTCAAGTTTTACCGGCATGGTCCTCGATTACTATGTTCACATAGTAATTTTTTAATTACTGACGACGATGATTTGGTGGTTAGAGCGCAGCCCACCAAGGTAGTGGCTTGTTGGGGGGATGGTGGTTTTCTGTGGCTTGGTGGTTTTTAAAAATTCCAAGAGAATTAGAATTTAGAGAGAAAAAATTTCCGCTTCACCCCGCCGGGAATCGAACCCGGGTCTCCCAGATACGCGCCGGGCACTCTTACCAACTAAGCTACCGGGAACTCCCTTACTTGATTATTTGATTAAGTCTATTTCATGTTGCCAACCCGGGTTGACACGCGGACGACTCGGGTTCGATTCCCGGAAGGGGGGAGGGGCAAAATAATTTTATAATGCTCTAATTCTCACAGATTCATTGCCCGAGTGGGAGTCTCGCAAGGGACGACTGTAACTGGTCAAGGTTTTTCCCTCAAGTGAGGTTTTTCCTTGGCCCTCGGCGAATGCAGTACAGGGGGTTGAGGGGACGGAAGGGAGAAAACCGTAAAAACCCGAGAAGGTATAAGACAAGAACAAAAAAATATTGATTAAATTAATTGATTAATTAATTCAAAATTTAAATTTTTCAGTAATTTTTCAATTTGATATTCTCGTGTACCGACGTCCAATGGTCGCGGTGGCTAAATCGTTAGTTCGGCTTGGCCACTAGGAGGTCGTGGGTTCGAATCCCAGTCCGGTCGGGTTTTTTGGCTTCTGGAAACAGGGGTTGGGGGCTCGAAAGGGTGGCTGGGCTTCGGATCGCGACTGGGGGGGACCCTTAACTTCCGGTAAAGGGGGTTAAGGGGCTCGCCTGGGGTGGATTCTGGTGGGGTCCGTCTCACCTCGGCTCTGGGGGCCTATTCTCGAAATATTTCCGTACACGGAAGTGGCTTCGTAGACGAATTGCGTATAGGAATCATATAGGCGTTCCGTCAACGGAGTCGATTTCGCGCACGAAAATATTTCGAGAATAGGCCCCCTGGACGAGCGGGAGGTTCCTAATAGAGGAATCGACTGTACCGACGGCGGTTTTCTGTGGTTTCCTTCGTCTCTCTCGTGGGAGCAAATGCGGTACAGTGTAGTAAGTCGGCCACAGCCGCAAGATTAGGTAGAGGATAGATGGCGGAGTAAACCAAATGGTTTAAAATGCCTTAAATAAAAAAAAATATATTCTCGTCTAGAAGCTATCCTGCTATATGTTTCATAACAAATCATGTTGCATAAAGTCTCGATAATGAACACATACACCCGGGATCTGAATTAAAATCAGAATGATATTTCGTTCCGAGGTTTTTCAAATAATGCCACTAGTGATGTGTAGTGATCATCGACAGTAGTTTCATCAGAATTCTCATTTTTAATCCTCTGTCTAAGATCATTCCTGGTCCTCATCTCCATGTCTTTTCTGTATTCTTTACTGACATCCTCCGGCATACGATGCAAGAATGGATTTACCGCCATTAAAATATCTGCAACGGAAGCACACGAACTCTGAACTTCTCGTTTTCATTTTTTTGTATTAATTTTTTCAATGGCTCATGGCCGCGTCAGTTACCCAGCATAAGATCTATAGTTTCGTAGACGAAAACCTTCCGTCTGTTCGACCACTGTAGTACCTTCAATCCGGCTCCCTCTGATTGTCTTCGCAGCTTCTCCTCAGGATTCGGATAACCATAGTGAGGGGGAAAGTATTTCAATGCATCCTAAAAAATTCCGAATTTACGAATAAGCTTTATACAAACGTACAAAAATAAAAGTTTTGATTCTCCGGAACGTGTCACTGATTTCCAGGAAGAGTTGTCACTGATTTTCAAGAATTTATCATTAGTTATTGAGGATTTGTTGTTGTGAAATTCTGAAATTCCGTAATTTTTTCACCAATTTTAAGTGATATTGTCACTATTTGGCAGCGACATCGTTAGTATTGTTCAGAGTAATGTTACTGATTTTCATGTATCCATCTCTGATTTTAGGAACAAAGCAGTGAAACGGTTCGAGTGAGAATTTTCAATTTTTTTAAAGAGGGTTGTAAAAATTGTTGTGGCATTTGGCAATTGAGGTGACAATCTCATTGTTAAAAAATCTCCAGGTGGCTGTATGTTTGATACGACCTAAAAAGATCCCTTTCCGTTGCTCGACACGTACGGGAGCTGTGGCCTGTACCGCTCAGCGGATAATACCGCCCACCCGTATTCCTCAGGATTGACTTTTTTCTTTTTATGATGCAAATATTTGATAACGACAAGTAATTTCAACAGAAATTTTCAATTTCCTCCCGTGGAAACATCGCTAAAAAATCCAAATCATTTCCTACCGAATTCTTAAAATATTTCGATTCCAGAATTTAAGACTTTTCAATGTTTCAGTTGTCCCATAAGGCAATGGAGTGCAAAATATATGTTCGTTATACATTTCCACATCCATTGGGACCTTTTCGATAGTAGAAAAATATCTTCATCAGTGATTATTGGCTATTTTATCACCCTCCGCGTTTGTGGATAATTCCGCCCAGAGTTTGTGGGTAATGCCGTCCAGGGTTTCTATAGGGCTGCTAGACTCTGCAGCTAGAGGGCGGTCAAGTGACAGCTCGATTGTTTGGAGTAGTCGGTGGCCACAGGAACATCGGGTAAATTCAGAATAATTTATTATTATTCACGTGAAATCTTTCTCAAACTGGAGCCAAAGAATGGAAATGAAGGATGAAAATAGAAAAAATTATAACAGTGGTCTGCATTGCTCAAAAAGTCATCAAAACAAGGTGGGCGGTATTGGACACATGCCGGGCGGTATTACCCTCAAAGTTCGATTCCATCGCTCACTGGCCAATGGCAGTTGAATTACATAATTAAATATGTTTCATGTTGATAAAAAATCTGTTCTCTTCACATCTTCGGATAAACACCTCGAAGAATCCATTTTAACCGTTTATGACTGCTTGTAGAGAGCGGGGCTGGAAAAAACTACTCATTTCCCTTCGGTGGGCGGTACATGCACCAGCGTCCCTAATGTACTATTCTTTGAGTAGAAAGCCAAGATCATTTACTTGCATGTAGGCTGAGAACTTTGGATCTTTCTGCTGCTCCAGGTAGAAATCGAAGACGATGTGATATGAATTCAACATAGCAATTGCTTTTCCTCCCGGTTGAAGGAGTTTGTAAATGTTGCCCGCTGCGACTTCAATGTTTCTGCACCAATTGAGACAGTAGAACGCTGTTGCATGATGAAATTGGGCAATCAAGTTTGTCGGTAGATCAGATGTTTCGATATCTAATTCAATAAAAGATAGTCTCTTTTCATTTGCGTGATGTTCCTTGGCGTAGTCAAGCATAGCCTCAGATATGTCAGCCCCTGTGCAACAAAAATCCTTCCTAGTAGGACGAGTCGGAATGATCGATTATGGACACGGAGAGAAATATTCGAGGGGCTATTCACAAGTGTAATCGTGGTGTCACTCGCTGATGTAATCAATTGTAATCGCAGTGAAATCAATGTAATCATTGTAATCACATGATTACCATGTTTGTAATCATGTTTTGGTAATCAGTTGTAATCACTGTAATCATTTGTAATCTGTGTAATCTTTCGTAGTTGCTCCTAGTGAGACCGTGAATTTTGTTTTTGAATTTTCGAGCGCGTCATTTCTACCAACAGTATGTCTCAGAGATCCCTGGATCAATTTTTCTTGGGATTCCAGATGTTTCTGGTTCAGAACCTTGCATAGCCAATGCGTTTTGCACAGAGCATTTGTCCGTAGAAAATTGATTCAACAGAGTTAAAATTTCTTGTTATTCTGGAGAACCAACGACTGAATTATCGGTGAATTATTTGCTGGTAAGTTTCATTCTCCATCAATGGTAGATATTCAGTAAATATATTTTGCTGATCGCACTTATAAATGCCTAAATTTTTAGATGGAGCGATGGAGACTGCACTCCTCTGTTCTAATCCCCGCCCCTCCTTCCGTATTTCTTTGCAGGTTCTAATAATTCATTATTCCATCAATTCATATTTAATAAGAGGCCATTTTTTGTGATTTCAATGATTACCGATGTTTGGTAATGACAGAATGTAATCGACGAAATCATTTGTAATCATGTAATCACATTCTGTGCTCTTGATAATCACGGTTATCACATGGGCAATGGTCATAAGTGTAATCAGTCCCGTAATTCTGGGTAATCGATTACATTTTATAATCGCGATTTTACCCAATTCGCCTGTGAATAGCCGCTCGGAAATATTCAATAAAAATTACATATCTTTTCCGTAATTCCGGAGCGAAATGTGGTTGTAGGAAATTTTATGGAACTGTACGGAATTTTTCCGGAGCGTTTCGTAATTTTGATCTGAATCTCGCGTGAAAAATTACGATACCCTCACTTAAATTTTTTGAGTCGATTCCGAAATCGGTGAGTGAATTGTGAGTTCCGTAATTTTTACTGAGCATTTCTCTCCGTGGACAGGGTCAAAACTCCATGCCGAGAGGGAAGTTCTTACCTACAACAATGGCATTCCCTCCTACTTTCGGGAGTAAGAGGTCTTTCAGTACAGTCCCAGGACCGCAGCCAATGTCAATGATCCTACCGTCCATTGCTTTGAACTCCTCAGCAAATTCTTCAATTACCTCACGTGCGTCGCGGTACTGAAGCTGCATTGATCTCACGTAACCCTCCGGATTGTTCATACCTCCAATTTATGAAACCAATTCTAGGAGAGCCCACGTATTGAACACTGACTAATTGAGGTATTTCACTGGTGACAGTAACTGCCTCTCGTCCGCTTTATAGAGCCTGTTCTGCTCGGATGATCGATAATTTATAAACAACTAGTGATCTTCAGCTTCAACCAGTTCAAGGCTACACAATTGCTCTGACCTGCTACATTCTCTATTCAAAAATACTACTTTGAAGGAGAATGTGTAATTAATAAATTGCAAATTAATCTATCCAGAAAAAACTAGGAAGTAGTAATAGTGGTGACCATTAAAATTCACAAAACGAGACGAGTTTTTTGCAGAAAAAACTATAATATGTAGAGGTGCACAAGAGATTGAGATTATCGGGTAAACCTGTTCAGTACGTAACTCGCCGGTTTTTAATTGGATCGACTGATCTGAATTGGCTCTGAAGCGTTGATGTGAAGTTAACCCAGAACTTGAACAGAGAGCAACATTCACACTTCAAAAATGAGGTGTTGGAAGGCAGTTTGCATTGAAGGGTATCATGGCAAGTCATGAGGAATAATCGAGGGGCTATTCACAGGCGAATTGGGTGTCACCGCGATTACAAAATGTAATCGATTACCCAGCATTACGGGATTGATTGCACTGATTACCATTGCCCATGTGATAGCCGTGATTACCAAGAGCACACAATGTGATTACATGATTACAAATGATTTCGTCGATTACATTCTGTCATTATCAAACATCGGTAATCATTGCAATCACAAAAAATGGCCTCTTATTAAATATGAATTGATGGAATAATTAATTATTAGAACCTGTGAAGAAATGAGGAAGGAGGGGCGGGGATTAGAACAGAGGAAAGCCGTCTCCACCACTCTATCTAAAAATGTGGGCATTTATAAGTGCTATCAGCAAAATAAATTTACGGAATATCTACCATTGATGGAGAATGAAACTTACCAGCAGATAATTCAGTCGTTGGTTTTCCAGAATAAGAAGAAATTTTAACTCTGTTGAATCAATTTTCTACGGACAAATGCTCTGTGCAAAACGCATTGGCTATGTAAGGTTCTGAACCATACACATCTGGGATTCCCAAAAAAATTGATCCAGGGATCTCTGAGACTTACCGTTGGTAGAAATGGTGCGCTCGAAAATTGAAAAACAAAATTCACGGTTTTACTAAGAGCAACTACGCAAGATTACACTGATTACAAATGATTACAGTGATTACAAATGATTACCATTTGATTACCAAAACTTGGTTACAAATATGGTAATCATGTGATTACAATGATTACATTGATTTCACTGGGATTACAATTGATTACATTGGCGAGTGATACCACGATTACTCCTGTGAATAACCCCTCGGGAAAATTGCTTTTGCATCGCATATAGTATAGTTATTTCTGCTAATAAATTAGCAATATCCTTCCGAATGGTTATTTTGCACACCATTTCCTTGTATCATGAATAATTCATTCATTTTATTTCATTTTATTGAATGGAATAAGATTTCTTTTCAACTAATTTTGTCAGATTTTAACTCAGTTGAAAGTTATCATCATCATTATTCTTGTTATCCCTTTCTTCTACACAACCGATTGTCCTTTTTACTGTTCTATCTCTCTCCTTAGCCCTTCGATAAAATATTAATAGACAAATTTGATTTGTACATACTTGAATAAATTTGAAACATCACATTTGAAGAAACCATCAGAAAGCTCACTTTCAGGGAAATTCATGAAAAATTCGAAATTTTCAACAATCATCATAAAAATCAAATCAACCAATATAGCTATCGTAATCATCTTTTAACTTCCACTTAATGGCATTAAAACATTTTAAGCTATGATTGAATTCATTTGAAGCCTGATAGTCAAAGATATCCCCGGAATTCTGATTTTCAAAAAATACAAAATTTTTGCAAATTTTCAAGGAAATCAAAATTATGATTATTGCTATTGCCTGTATCATCGAACTTGGTCAAAAGGACATCCAAACAATTTTTTTAAGCCATTATTCAATCAATTCAGAACATTTGTTTTTCAGTTATCGTGGAACAAATCTGGAATTCATTTGGTTACGAGCGATTCAAAAATTTCGAAAATCCTGTTAAGGCAACTATTTAAAATTCCTTCATAGCCCCAAAATTTACTGCGGAAGTTCCTTAAGGAAAATTCTGAACCTCACAAGTTGAGATTTTTGATAATCTCAATTAGAGACTTTCAAAATTCTCTAATTGAAGCTTGTTTGTGTTGAGTGTACAATGCATTGAGTTCGATTCGACCTGAATGAAAGTCGTTCTGCATTTTTAGGTGAAACCCCGTTCGAGCCGTCGTTACCAACGAAAAATCAATCCTCCACATGAACCCTCCACTCAATCCAACTCTTAGCAAGCCGAACTGGTCAACTTGATTCATTCATTTTTTCTGGTGTACACAATGCATTCTTTGTTACGATATTTTAATTAAAATTTTTATCACAACCCTTTAGATCTGCTGATCGATATGCTGGGAGTCCTAGCGAGTTACAGCATAACAGTCAAGGAGTTAAAGCTTCTGTTTGGGGCGATGAAGGCGGTCAAGGGAAAATGGGTAAGAAAAACTTTCCACCTTCTTTCTCCAACTGTCCCGCGTCTCCGTTTGAATCAACGAGGTTGACAAAAAATTTCGTATTATAAACTTTAAAACCATTTTTTTCTTATGAACTTGCAGCCACGACACTCGGCAAAATTGTTGAACGTACTTCGTCAAATGCCACAGCGAAATGGACCCGATGTATTTTTCAGTTTTCCCGGGAGAAAAGGATCGGTAAGTTGGAACTTTAAAGCCCGCCAGGTATAGGCATTAAGCTTCTCTCAGTGAAGCCCGAGAGGAAAAGTTGTTGATACAAAAAGAGTAGAAACAGTGCTGTGACGAGTTGGAGGAAAGAAATCCACCCGTTTCCCCTCGAGTTCAATTCCATCTGGTAGTTTACTGATTGCACCGACGTCAGACTCAGATGTTCTCCTCTGAAAACTCAATTTAAGCGGATCATAAAATTTTTATCAAGTAGCTAAATCGAGTTTTTTAATGATCTTGTTATGTTGTGAAGTAACTTGCATCATTCTCGAATGAAATCAGGTCGACTCTCAAATTTTTTAATCTGAAATTGCTTACTCTGTACAGAATAACTGTATGAATACTCGGGAGAGCGACTGACGAGTGGAAAGAGCCAATAACGAATACCAATTATGGGAAAAAGTGTTTCGTGGATTTTTCCTGATAGATTCTTACTTGGAGTAAAATACGAAAGTCTGATCATTAAGTTTGTGAGTTCAAAGTGGATTGGAAATGAAATTTTATAATAGTGGGAAAACGCGATAGTTTAAGTGCGACGTGTTCAATAATTTCTCTGTTTTAGCGGAATCGAGTGTTCTCAGAATAAAGCGTTAAAGACAGTTAAGAAAATTTTTAGTGAAAAAAATCTCTTGATGTCTGATGAACAAATCATCTATTATTTAAATCATTTAAAACTTCATGAGACGAGGCTAAATGAGACATTTCATTCCTCACCGGCAGATCTATCTAAAATTTATAATTTATGATTGCCTTTTTTGTCATCGCAGGAAATAGAGTTTATTGAAATTTCATGAGGACATCCCTTAAATTTCCACATTTCATGTCACTATTAAAAAATTCGATTTCATTTTTCAGTCGAATTTCACTACCTAATCCGCATCGTTAGGATGAAGATGGCGAAGAAAATTTTTTTCAGTTACGAAATCCTGTGAAAGTTCACACAAAGTCAATTCCATTGACTCAAACATTTATTTTGCTCATTACTAATTTACCGTATGAGAAACAGTGATAGGCATATCAATCAATCATAATTACCCTCAAATTGTGAAGTTGTCAATTTTTAACTATTTTTAACTATTGGAATTAGCTTGCTAACTAAAAAATTACCTTTCAGTATTATCAAATAATTTATTCACCATCAATGGAAAAATTTAGCTAATAAATTCTATAATATTTTAAATTTGTTAAATATAATTAAACTTTGAACAATATAAGGAGATAATCCCTTTTTCATATTGACAAAATCGAATATTATCGCCTATCCCTGATGAGAAAATATAAAAAGATATTGTCAGACGTAAATTCCTCCAACTTCGATGGAAATGTGTTGATATAGAATCTTAAAGTTATTTGCTGCCTGACTTAAACGATTTTACTCCACTCGGCAACCACAAACCGTGCCAGAACTTCAGATGAAATTTCACTAACAACCGCAAAAGTCTCCTCCGATCTCTCAAAATAACCCTACCCCCTCTCCGGAATTTTAAATTTTTCCAAAATCCAGGCAAGCCATTGACAAGTGAAATAAGTCAACACCAAGTTCCAATTATGGTTGGCTAACAATCTCTGGCGCTGTCGTCAGCGCTAGGAGGATTACCGGAAGTTGATGGAAGGTACCAAGTTATCAGTTAGTGACGAAGGCCGCCATAACTTGTTAGGAAATTGTCGAGGATCGATATGACCAAAAACTTCGCGTCAACCACCGGCATCGGGGGTTTATGGAACATAAGAAATGTTGAATGTTGGGTGTTAGAGTCTCGCCGGCGTATTCATTCTCTTCCATCACGTAAGAAAGGAGGGGCAGGAGAGTAAATCAGAGGAATCCTCATCTGTCGACGCTGTTAAACAATTACTCATGAAATTCGGAGTGAAAAATCGTGAAATGTTCAACGACGACTGGTGCACATGGAATTTCCACGCGGAAAGAATATAAAATTATTCTGTACGGTGGGAGCGTAGTAATTCTTATTAAGAGAAGTAGAATGGAGGACTATACCGCTACCCTCGAAAATTTACAGTTTAACATATTAATTTTGAGAACAAATGAAAAACTACACTGAAAAAAAAAATTATTTTTGCCAAATATTCATTTACTTGAGAGAAGCATTTATTTTTTTTAAATCGTGTTTCTTCAATCGAGTCATTCCCAGGCGAGCCTAATTAGGTTTCAATTATGACAATCATGCTGCTCAATCACGAAATCCTCCAATGATTATACTCACTTTTCCTAAATTTCTTATTTCCTGCAGGGAAAAATTTCGATTCATTTTTCCATGTTTATAATCATTGAGGGACTTCACTCAAGGTCATAACTAACATAATCATCTTCTAGAGCAATATGATTGGCATAATTGCCTGGAAATTATTTGGGTGGAGAAATGCGGTGTTGAAAAAATAAATACTTCTCTCAAGTCAATATTTGGAAAAAATAATTTTTTTTCTATGTGTGCGACGTAATCCTATCGTAAAAAGGAGAAAGGAAATCGATCTCGAAATATCTCGAAAATCTCGAATAAGCGTAAGGGTAAGACTGAAACCGAAGCGCCACTACTTGAGGAGATGAGAAGGCGCGGGCGTAGCACGCGCGGCCGATCTCGTGGATGAAAAAATAAGGCTGACAAAATAAAAATATGATGGAGTCCATCGGAAAAAATACTGTCGAACATAGTAAAAATTGCAAGTCGGTGTAGTAGAAAATGGTAGCATGGAAGTTGAGTTTTCAAATAACAGGAGTAAAATTTAGGATGTAATTATTTTATTTATGTATTCAAAATTTAATTCGAAATAAAAACATCGCACTTGATATATGAAAATTGAAGTTATAAAAAAATACTCAAGATAATATTAATAAACTTCACCAATAACACAAATGCAAAAATCGACATGAGAATTCTCAAACCACTATTAATATCGATCATGACAATATCACGAATTTTCTCAAAAGACAGGTTGTTTATAACACTTTTGAAATTTATTTTTTCCGTACATACATTTTGTATCCAACGAAGCAGTCAATTTCTGGAATATTTTATGGCATTACAGTTTTTGGATCTATATGACAATGAAAATGATCGAAAATTGGAAAAATTCTGACAACTATTCTGAATTTTAAACCTATTGGAAATTCGATTGAATGTGATCTTCAACTTTCACAATAGGTTTGAAAATTTAATCTGTCAACCGCCCATTTTTTGAATTTCCAAAATGAATAAGACTGAGATGAATGAAGATGAACAATTTGACGTAAAATCAAATTTAAATTTAAATCATTAAAAATTTTACTGCATTACATCAATTTCAGAAAATTTCCAGTTGGAGACTAATACATTTCACATTCTATTCTTCTTTTATTTATTCAAATAAAATAATGAGCGAAGACCAACTCATTGGAGTTATATAATTCCAATTCCATTTTAAGAACTAGAAAAACAACATTTTTCTCAAACAAAAGCTCATACGTCTGTTTGAATATTTTCAAGGCGAATATTTTTACGCAATGTCCACAGAATTGAGTTCACAGAATTCTCAAATATTCAATACAAAATCCTCACGCATGTACAGCATTTTTCCTCTTGATAATATCGATCCTCCCGCGTACACTCAACGGCTTGTTCACCGAATGACCCTGTTACTTTAATTGGCAAAAAATGTGAAACTGATGAAGAGAGAGCAATATCCCCCTTATTTGATTTCAATCGCTAGAGAATCCTATCGAGCTTCTATGAGAATTCCTCGGCTTTTCCGCGCTTTTTTTGTAGAAATTTCGGAGAAAAAATATTTTTCATATAATTTTTAACGAAATTTGTTGCAAGTGTCTGTAAGAACATGCAGCTGACCATCGCCGGAGGGCCTTCAGCCAAGTATTTACATTTTATGTATCTAATAGTTGGTAATGGCGAAAATAAGTCAATTTATTTTTAATTTTACCGGGTGAAGATAGAGAAAATAAAGATACCTTTTATCTATTAAAAATTGCGAACTTTTCAGCCGTTAACAGGCATTTTAATTAAAATGTAATTTTAATTAGAGATGAAAAAAATTAATTGGACTTGAGACCAGTATAACTTTTTTGTTCATGAATTAGTAATTTGTTTCTGAATGGTAAATTGGAGAACAAGATATATCAGCAATGAAACCTTAATATGATCCGTAAATGTATCAAATGTTTAACATGAGTTCCATATGCCCTGGTTAAACATTCAACAGACGCCAACTAAATTAAAATTGAACTGGTTGAAACTTCCACTGAATATTGACTAAACCTTAACGAAACCTTGGTTAAACCCTGATTAACCTCCGACTAAAACCCGACTAAATCCTTACTAAACCCCGACTAAATCCCGACCAAATCCTGACTAAAGCCCAACTAAACCCTGACTAAACCCCGACTAAACCCTGACTGAACTCCGACTAACGTTGGACTAAATTATGATTAAACCTCGATTAAATGCTTTTTAAGACTATAATTTCAAAGCAAATGATACGATCGCCACAATCTTCGAACTCGACCAAAATAACATCCAAACAAATATTTTAAGCCATAATTGAAAAGATTTCGAAGATTATTTTTTGAATGATCGCTGAGAAACTAAATTTGAAAAAAAAGCTCACATACATACATACAGACATGATCTAAAAACAGTATATTCGAACTCCTGAGACAAAAATTAGTCATCGTCACACAAACAAATGGAAATTTCAGATTCGACGAATACAATGCTTCCATTCGGAAGCAAAAGAATCGAGAGAAAACCAATTCTTTCAGTAATTGCCAACGGTTCGAAGACACAAAGTGTTCTTCATCAAGACACACATGTCTTCTATTTTTCAACCCATTAGTCATTTAAAGGGTGTACACGGAGAGATAAATTCAATAAAAATTACCAAGAAAAACGTAAAAATTACGTTTCGAAACGTCATCCGCGAGCGAAGTAGAATTCAATAAAAAGTGTGAGTCGGAACTGAAATTGTACGAATCGCCACGTAAATTCTACGATTTGTTCCGTAAAAATTAACCATCCACCTGATGACTCACCGCTGTGGGGACAACAAGTCGTTCTGTAATGTTTCCCCAACGATTGAGAAATTTTACGGAACGGAACGTAGAAATAACTCACACGGAAAGAACTATGCAAAAAACATTACCAGAAAAAAGACGTAAAAATTACGTTTCGAAACGTAATCTGGGAGCGAAGTAAAATTCAATAAAAAGTATCAATCGTCACGTAAATTCTACGATCTGTTCTGTAAAAATTACTCATCCGTCCGACGCCTCACGGCTAGCCATGAGTCACCGTGAGGGGGAGATTTTAACAATACGTTCCGTAATTTTTCCTGAATTTTTCGTAAAAATTCTTAAACATCCAAGAATTTTCATGTTCTGAGGCATAATAAGTCTTGAAGTTTCTGTTAGATTTTACAACTTCCAGAAAAATTACGTGAGTTTTTCGTATTTTTTCGGTGACAGACCCGAAAATTTACTGAACGTTTCAGATTTATTCTCTTATATTCCTATAGAAATTCACTGAAAACGATTCTCGCTTGCGGATTACGTGAAATGTTCCGTAATTTTTCTTGAATATTTCTCTCCGTGCACCAGCTTCATAAAAATTGTTGAACGTTCAAGAATTTTTGATTTTAGAGGCATAATAAGTCGCAAAGTTTCTGTAAGATTTTACTTCTTCGGGAAAAATTACGTGACAATTTCGTACTTTGTTCGGTGATGAACCTGAAAATTCACTGAACGTTTCAGATTTCTTCTCTTCCATTCCTATAAAAATTGCCGGAAAACGATTCCCCATTGCGGATTACCCGAATTGTTCCGTAATTTTTACTGAATATTTCTCTCTGTGTACCAGAAATATACTAATCCTAAGAAAATTACTCAAGTAAATAATCCGACAGTGAACAGACACCTTATTCTATGTTCAGGCAATTGTTCTACCACCGATGGCAAGGTGGCCCTACGAAAATGGCTACACCTTCACGACGTGGTTCCGTCTCGACCCTATCAACTCCGTTAATATCGAGAGAGAAAAGCCGTACCTCTACTGGTAAGTGACCCTTTCATATAAGTACACTTGTCTCATACCTTGGACGGTGCGATGAAAGCCTTGTCTTCTTTTGATGTCAGTTTAATGAGGTTTTCATCAGATGCATCATTTATTTATTTCAAGCTTTTTTCCATGAGCGCAAGACATTCGCAATGAGAAATTTTAATGAGCCATTTTTATTCGCCTCATTTTAGTTTCAAAACGAGCAAGGGAGTCGGATACTCGGCCCATTTCGTTGGTAATTGCTTGGTACTTACTTCGATGAAAGTTAAGGGCAAGGGCTTCCAGCACTGTGTCAAATATGAATTTCAACCACGAAAGGTAAATCGATGAAAGGTGAAAACAGGAGGGACGAAGATTGCGGACTTTTTTGCAAATATTTTTGGAAAGGAAGACTTTCAGATAAAATACATGTCAAGACGATTTATCAATTTGATAATCCTATTTTCCTATTTACTAAAGATGAAAGAAACGTGAAACACTGCATGACCCCTAATTCTCAATTTTGATTGGTCAATGAGTCACGTGAAGTAGTCGCTGAAAAAAATCCCTGGTATTTTCAAATTCTTCAAATGGCAAAATTTTTTTCTGCATCATATTTTTCATTTTTTCATGTGTGAAGTTTATCTTTATATCAAAACATATCTAAATTGTCTAATTGTTGATTATGAAAAAAAAACATAGTATTTCTAAATTTTTTTAAAACACAAATTATTCTTCACTTCCCAAATTTTAATTTTTTCATATTTATCATACGCACAAATGATCAATTCTTGCTTCTCAGATTTTCATACATAAATTCTAAACTCTACAAAATTCATGAAAATTCTTCGGTTTCCCAAATAATTCGAGAAAAATCTTTGAAGAGCTACGGTTATCTGGAAAACTGGAATTTTCCGAAGAATTCAAGAAATTTTTTCTGGGAAATCAATTCATAACCCTCCCCTCATTTTTCAACAATTACAGATTTCGATCAGATTATTTTAAAAAGTAAAAAAAAGAATTAATCGAAAATTAAAAATTATTCATTGATGTTTCACTCTTCATTCTCTTAATTCTCTTTAAGTCATTATCAATATTTATAAAACATCTATGAGTATATGAAGTTTAATAAATTCGATTTCTTCATTTACACAACAAAAAGATAAGCGCGCGCGAAAGCGCGCGCACAGATCTAGTTTATCAAAAGACGTGACATGACAAGACAAGATTTTTGTTTTTTCTTCTCGAACAAATTATCTCAAGACGTATGAAAAAATCGAATGGAAAATAGTAACACTTCGGCTATTAAATTAAAAATCTATTCGTCTTGGCTGATTACTATTGAAAATAGTGAAGTTTAACCTTTTACAAATATTTTTCCAGAAAAAAAAAATTTGGAAATCCTTTTAGAAAGGAAGAAGTTTGGCCAATTTGTCAAAATACGTGACAAGACGATTTATCAGTTTGATGATTTCTCCAAAAATATGATATGACAAAACCAGATTTTTACAGCCTCTTCTCGAATAAATTATCTCAAGTCGTATGAAAAAATTTAATAAAAAAACCTAACACTTCGGTTATTGAATTGTATTGAATTTCTATTGGAATTTTACTGAAAACATATTTGGAAATCTATCGGTTTTTGCTGGTTACTATTCAAAATAGTGAAGCGTTACCTTCTACCAATATTTTGCCAAAGATAAAATAATTTTTGGATACATTTTTGCAACGGAAGACGATTTACGAATTTGATGTTTTATCAAAAACATGACATGACAAGGCAAAATGTTGACAGCTTCTTCTCGAATAAATTCTCTCTAGACGTATGAAAAAACTGAATAGAAAATCGTAACACTTTGGCTGTTAAATTTTATTAAATTTCGAGTAGAAGTTTACTGAAATTATATATGAAAGTCGATTCGTTATTGCTGGTTACTATTGAAAATAGCGAAGCGGTCCATTTACGAATATTTTGCCAGAAATGAAACAATTGATTTTGTCTTGAAATTATTTACGAAGAAATTCTTAGACATCAATTTTCCAAGTTCCACTGCATTATTCTATTTCATATTACAAACTCTGAGAAGAAAAGCTCAGAATATTAATGTCCATTAATTCTTATGGAAAAAATTGCAACAGAATAAGTGGAATAGGCAAACGAGAACCATTGAATTTCCGAAAAATTTCCACAGTAAAGTGCATAAAATCATTAGATTCCTCTCCTTCGGCCACTTTGCGGCAGGATTATTCCGCGCATTTGCTCGAGTCCCTCATTACAATATTTTTAATTATTCACAGTGGTACATGATCGCCATAGTGTACATATACAATAGATGGACAAAAAGCGAGATAAAGTGTTTGGTAAATGGACAATTGGCATCAAGTACGGAGATGGCGTGGTTTGTTTCCACGAACGATGTGAGTTGATTATTTGATCCATTACATGAATAGCCAATTCAATCTGAATTTAATTGTATCGAAAATGTAAAATTTCAGCCATTCGATAAATGCTACATCGGTGCCACTCCGGAATTGGATGAGGAGCGAGTATTTTGCGGTCAAATGAGTGCAATATACTTGTTCAGCGAGGCGCTCACTACCCATCAAATTTGCGCAATGCATAGACTCGGACCAGGATACAAAGTGAGAAATTATTATGATTAGAATGAATTCGATCGATTGTTGACCTCCAATACCTACCATTCTTTTCCATTTTTAAATTCTGTCGTTGGAAATTTTCGATGAATGAAATTACATTACATACTAGAGAAGTATCGCCGGCTCGCTCCGCTCGCCAATCCCCATATGACCCTCATATAACCCCTATGACGCTTATTTGGACCCTTATTTTGGACCTTGTGACCCGTAGTTTCTGATCCTTCGGTTTTTGACCCTTCATTTTTGAGTCTTAATTTCGCGTACCAAATTTTCATCAACAGAAGTCGATTTGGATTTTTATCATATAGAGAGAGCCCCACATATCCCCCAAGACCTTATTTAGACCCTTATTCTGGCCCTTGTAACCCTTAATCTGACCCTTTTGGCCCTCAACCTCACTCTCGTGACCCTTAGAGACAGAAAATGAGAATTTAGCGAGAAAAAAATCCCCCACCGCCCGGCAGGGATTCGAACCCGGATCTCCCAGTTACGCGCCGGGCACTCGCCCAACTGAGCTACCAGGAACTACGGAAATTCTCTCTCCAAATTCGCCTTACATCATTGACTAACCACCTTTAGGCATTATTCTGACCCTTATGGTCCTTAGTTTCTGATCCTTAATTTCAGAGTCTTATTTTCGAGTACCAAATTTTCACCACCAGAAGTCCATTTGGATATTGATAACATAGAGAGTCCGAAATGACCCCCATGACCTTATTTAGACCCTTGTAACCCTCAATCTGACCCTCGTGACCCTTAGGGAAAGAGAATTAGAATCTAAGAGAAATCCCTTTTCTAGGGATTACATTGTAATGGAAATTGATATGAATCAGAACATTCTGGTTGAGTTCGTGCTCAATTGGCAGCCCAGTATTATTGATGATAATTAATCTATAAGCGCCCAAATAACACCGAGTCTTATGAGAAAATGAATTTCTCGAGATTACAGAGAAGATTAAAGTATAGAAAAAAATCTAAAAAATTAAAAATCAATAAATGAAAACTTTATGCCTAATACGAAAATTATCGTCAGTGTCAATCTGTTGTGATAAATAACTCATGTTTCTCGGCACCCCGAATGTATGGGATGCCCTAGTCAAACGAGCAACTGTTGTTCAAGAAAATAACTGTAGAGAGAATTTCATGCAAGAAATTATCAGTAACGAATAATTGTTTGTCGAGCATTTTAAATTCATTTTTCTTCATTTGACTCAATGACGTACGTGGAGTTTGGATATACTATTTTAATGTGAAGAAATGTGCCTTAAATCTAATTAAAAAGGACAAAGAGAACGCATTTTATCAAAATATAATAATCCTCCATTTAGATGACATAAATCGCTAAATTTATTTTGATAAACGATTTATTTTCCATGAATAAACTCTCATTTTCGTATGATTAAAGCATTTCCATTGGAATAAATATATTATTTCATCAATGCCTAACAAAATTATTATCAAAATGTATGGGAAAATTTTAAACAATGAATTGCATTCAATTCAAATGCACCACACGAAGAGAAATGTTCAGTAAAAATTACGGAACTCACAATTCGCTCACCGATTACGGAATCGATTCAGAAAATTTAAGTGGCGTTGTCGCAATTTGTCCCGGGAGATTCAGATAAAAAAAAATTAAAATTAAAAATTTCTACAACCACATTTCGCTCTGGAATTACGGAAAAGATACATAATTTTCATTGAATATTTCTCTCCGTGCATTTCTCTGGGTACACTGGAATGCAATTTTTGATTACTCATTGATGCTCCGTGATTACAGAGCCAATTCCGGTTTGACAACGAGTGCTACCTGAATTTACCCGACAATCAAAAAAGGGTGAGTGATGAACAGGAGCCCCCAAGCATGGTCGACCAAAGTATGCAAACTGTAAGCATTTTGTTTTGTTTTTAGGTTTTATTAAATTTATTTTGTGATGGTTAATTCACTTGTATCGCTCATGTACATCATTTCTTAATCCTGAATTCAATTTCTAATCAGTTCATTACTGCGTTCATACTGACTGAGGTAATAAAAATAATTGAGAATATTTGAATAGCGGGAAGTGATTCACTAGTTCATCTTGTGGGTTTTTATTTAGCTGTTGCAAGTTTTGTGTTGACGCATTTCAGTGATAGAAATTTTTTAATATCATTTCTCTCCACCACATGTGGAAGCAACTTTTTTTTTGTTGATTTTTCCATGTTGTGCTTTTTTCGCATTTTTGCATTGATTGAATGGATGTGATGTAGTTTATTTTTATAGGGGAGAGTGGGGCAAAATAAAACAGGCGAAAAACGACTATTTGATGCAATTCAAGCAAAAAATAGTATATTCCCTGTCGAGTGCCATTGGGGGTTTCGGCTCGTGTGAGGTTAGCGCGCCGAGCCAAAGGCGAGGTGTGCCAATCATACGAACTGAAAACGCCTGTGGCACTAGACGCGAACGATATTTTTCCGTAGTGATTTTCACTTTTAGCAGTTTGGGGAAGGGTCAATACCAATCCCGGCACTGGAAAAAGTAAACAGTCGTACGGAATTTTTTTTTCCTGTTAACTTGGGAGTAGTGATGAGAATAATAATTTTCTATTTGTCTTATAATTCAATCGATTAGATTACGCCGATTACACTTTTCCTTTTTCATTCGATCGAAATTCAGCATTACATTTTCCTTTTTCCCCCTCTGGGTCACCCCCTGGGCCTTGCTCTGGACTTTGGATTTTGCTGTTTTATTTTCATTTCAATTAATCCACTGACAAAATCTTCTCCCGCCAAAACTTTTCAATAATTTCCCATTCTGCTTAATGGAAAATTATTATTCTCATCAGTATTCCAAAGAATAAACAAAAGTTAATAAGAAAAAAAAATTAATAAAAAAAAATTTGGCTTGAATTGCGTCAACTAGTCGTTTCTCGACTGTTTCATTTTGCCCCACTCGCCCCTACGTAATAGGAGAACGCTATTTTTCAATTGTTACATTGTGTTCTATATTGAATATAAACTTGAATTTTATAGTTGCACCACATACCTAATGTGATGTAATTGGGAATGTTGAAATTATCTTCGTTATGAGTACTTTTTGGAAGAAATTACTGAAGGATCTTCTCAGGTGGAGAATTTACTCAGCTTGAAATGAGATCTCTTGCCATTTTCTCTCTTTGGAACACTTCATTCTATAACACAATTTGTCGTTTGCTAATTTTTCCACCGAGAGAAAAAATTAGTTGTGCCGAAAAATTATGTGTTTCCCTGAAGTTCTTTTGTCGTGTTGAATCAATTTACTTGTGGACAAAAAAGAAAGTCTCCATGAAAACATGATGATTTTTGTAGTAGTAATTGTTCTCGTGAGACATTTATATGTCTTCCGAGTAAATACATTCGTTCTACAGAGAATTATATGAGCCTCCAGTTTTATCAACTGAATGTTATTGAGTAGTGAATATATTTGTCCAATAAACATTTATAATTTCCATGGAACAAATGATAATTTCAAGAAGAAACTACAGCTTTCTTGCCGAAAACTGTGTTATTGGCAAAATTAAATAATTTCGAAGGGACAATTTCTTTTGGGAAGAAAATATTCTTTCCTCACCAATGTATTCATTCTAGGGTAGAAACCTATGGAGTTCTCTCAGATCAAATGATTGTCATACAATAGATTATATTTTCTCCTGCCAACAGTTAGAACTCTTCTAGGGATATTTTTGATGATCATGACACGACTTTAATTGTTGTGAAAGATATTAAATTTTTTTCTATCAAATTGGTTAATTTTCCTCCAGTAAATCGGTTTCACCCCATCAAATACACGCATGAAAAAATTCAATAGAAATTCAATTTCCTGTTGGAATTCTACAGGAATTCTGTGGAGTTTCTACAAAATTTCTCTTGGAGTTCTATTGAAAAATTCTACTTGTTTTTTGCGCTGATTCTATTGAATAAGAAAAAGTCAATCGATTTCATATTTCTGTCTGAATTTTTCTCTTGAGATTTTTTCTATCAGAATGCTTGGGCATCAATTTTCTAAGTTCTTACCACTCGAATTTTGCAATGCAAAATAAAACAGAATCTAGCGGAAAAAACTTGGAAAATTTGTGCCCAAAAATTTTAATAGAAAAAATCCAAGAGGAAAAATTCAAACAGAAATTCGAAATCTATTGACTTTTTCTTATTGAATATCCAATAGAATCGGCGCAAAAAACAAATCGAATTTTTCAATCGAATTCCAATAGAAATTCTATAGAAACCCCATAGAATCTATTGGAATTCCTATAGAATTCCAATAGAATTTTCTAACGAATTCGCTAGGTTTTCTACTGAATCTTTTCATGTCTAGTTTTTCACATCTAGTTTTCGATAGAGCTAATTTTTTTCCCCAGTATATTACGATTACGAAATTATCCCGGTAATCTTTTTTATCGGGGAAACTTTTTTAAAGACAGTCTTTTAAGATTTTCTTCTAAAATCACTCGTTTTCGAGATGAACGCGTACTCCATAGAACGATCTAAGGTATTTCAATTTTTTATCCATAGCCTTGGAGATGGAAAATAAACTGGAGGTTTTTTCTTGCGCCAATATTCTTTCGGTAATCAAAAGTTTCAAAAAAAAAATATAGAGTTTTTCAAATTACTTCCTAAACCCACTCATTCCGGAGATGAATCAATAATTGGTGAAGCGATCCGAGCTAGCATGATTTTTTAAACGTAGCCTCGAATATTGACTGTAAACTTGGAGTATATTCATGAAAAGAAATTAATTCGAGTTCCTCAAATATTTGCCTGGATAATAATCGAGGTATTTCATGGGAAAAGTTTGATGGAGCAATGCGATATTGAATAGCCCCAGGGAAACTATTTCCAGACAGAATATTTGAACAATTTAAATTAATTCATTTTCACAAAATTCATAAATTTTATTGGCAATTTAAAAGTCAATTAAACCGACTGTTACCCTCAGGTACTGTACGACGGCAAATTGTCGAATGCAATAGTATTCATGTATAACCCAGTGGCAACGGACTCTCAATTGTGCCTGCAAAGTGCACCAAAGGGCAATGTGTCTTACTTCGTTCACACACCCCACGCCCTCATGCTTCAGGTAATTCAAGGGAATAAAAATGTCAGTCAAGTATGAAATAGATGAATGCGGCAATAATTATAATGAATATTTCTCTCACAGGACGTCAAAGCAGTTATTACACATTCCATACACAGTACACTGAATTCCATCGGTGGAATTCAAGTGTTATTTCCATTATTTTCACAATTGGACATGCCTTATGATTGTATAGCCCCCAACGACATCAAGCGAGATTCTACTCTATGGTAATATCATTGTTATGAAGTTTCTGGTATGCAGTGGTATGTGAAATTCGTGAGAATAATTCAAAATATTCAGGAATATTTTCTTCTTATTCGTGAAGGGGCAAGTATTGTTGTATGAAATGCTTGTGATCTTTTCAAGACATTCGTGAGAAAGACGATCGAAAAGTGAAATAAACACACACGAAAAAAGGGAATAGAAAAACCTAGCGAATTCGTTAGAAAATTCTATTGGATTTCTATTCAAAGGTTCAATAGAAAGAATTCAATTAAAAAAAAACTCAGTAGAATTCGACTTTTCTGTTTAACTTATTCTCGTCAGATATTTTATACAGAATTTCCTCGGCTCAAATTTTTTCGGTTTCAATGTTTTTTTGCATTCTATTTTTCTTTTCTTCTAATTAAAGAAATTAAACAAAAAACTTGGAAAATCTGAGCCGAGGAAATTCTACAGAAAATATCTTAATAGAATATGTCACACAGAAAAATCGAACTCCATTGACTTTTTCTATTGACTTTTCTGTTGAACATTTCAATGAAATTGGCCAAAAACTAATAGAAAGTTCGATAGAAATCCAATAGAATTTTCTGACGAATTCGCTAGGTTTGTCTATTAAATTTTTTCACTCGTGAATAAACAAGAAAATTCATACTTCTTTTTTGTCAGTGATGAATTTCATTCCAATAAAAACAAATGAACAATTAAATTTTTTTATAAATGAGTTCAGTAATTGTTGCTTCCATAATAGATTTGTTTAAATTCTCACTTCACTATTCCCGTCTTCTATTTTTTCACGCCATAGTGCTATCCATAATCATAAGTAAAAACTTTATTAAAATTAAACGGACGATTCATTTGACGTGAAGAAAAACCCAAATAAAAGTCAAATACAAGTTTGAATAAACCCATTTATCCGAATCAAATAAAGTTCATTTAATTCAAAGAAACCATTTCTCTGAATGTATTTTCCCCTAAAACCCAATTATTTTCCCTCTGTTGTTTTCACTTTTTTGCCCTCTACCAATAGAAAATCCAAGAAATTTGAATATTCAACGAAATTCTCATGACACCCTTAATTCCCTCTCGTCGTATAAATTTAGTTAATTTAAATGTCTTTGTTACTCAGTTCAAAACTCTTGGGATTCATCTGTGACCTCGTAGAAACTTCACAGACAGTACAGCAGCATATGGTACAAAATCGAGGCTTCCTAGTCATCAGTTTTATGCTCCAACGAGCAAGCAGAGAGCACCTAACCACCGAAGTTCTTGCTTCCTTTTTGGAACTCACCAAGCACCTTGTCACCTGTCTAAGTGCTAACAGCGATTTACTATTAAAACAGGTATGCAATCCTCCCACTCAATGCGATATCGGCGTCTCACTGTGACAGTCTCAATCTGCAAATTGACGAGGTTTTTCCCAACAAATTGAATTTTAAAAAATGGAAAAATACTTTTTATTAGTTCTGGACGTTATTTTTTTATCAACGAAAAAGCTGGCATGTGTTTCTCTGATGAATTTCACACTTTTTTTTTCGTTGCTTTACATTCGCAATCTATTGATTTATTTTACTCTCTCACGTCGCTATTTTATTCAATTTTATTGCGATTGGATGCTGGCCAAATATGGAATTTTTATGGCCACATCAAAGGGTGAAAAAATGCCAGCATGCAGGGGAGAGAGATACTGAGAAAGAATGAGCTTACGACACTTTGGACCGCATGTAATCTATCGACTCTCTCGAGCTTTCACAGTTTTTATACAGTATTGGCACGATATCTTCATCAGTGATTCGTTAATCTTATGATATGATCTTTACTCGAGGGCTGGGGTAAAAGGGGTTCCACTCCATACAAAACGTCCAAAAATCCAATTCTATTAGATTTTTATTGAAAATTCTATTAGTTTTTCTGCACGTTTTTTCCAATGGTAAATATTTTCTAGGAAACATAAACATGATTTTTCCACACAACTTATTCTATTGAGATATTTTCAGTAGAAAATGTTCTAAATTTTCCTAGTTTTTAATGTGAGATGGAAAAAATGGAGTGAAAAAAACTTGGAAAATTTGTCGAATTTCTATAGGATAAGTTCTGTAGAAAAATGAAATTATGTGAATGCTTTTCTATAGAATAATTTTGATTGAACGTTTTCTATTGAAAATAAGGCGCAGAAAATCCTCAATTTTTCAATAGAATCGACAAAAACCAAGAGAATTTCTGGTAGAAATCCAGTAGAATTTTATTATTATTATTAAAAATTATTATATCGTCGTGATCCTTAATAAGCATATGGTGGAATTATCGTGGTGGAGAGTGAATTTGATAATGATTGACAAGAGACAGAAATTCTTTTTAATTACAAGAGAGATTTTAAATTATTCGGCGTCACGATGAATCTATTATTAATAATCAAATAAAATCATTCAAATCAACGTCAATCCTTGTTTTAAGAATTTGAATTTTGCATAGAATATTAGACACAAATTTTTCATCTTCATAAATAGTGATTGAAAATCTCTGACTTTATTCAATTGGCATCGTTTCATTTTCATTTTTAACTAAAAATGAAATTTTTAAATAAAAAACATCTTCCTAATATTTATCCGTTAATTCACGGATGGAAAAATTTGACAAAATTAAATATTAAATTTAAAAAAAACGCAGCGAATTCGTTAGACAATTCAAATTCTATTGAATTTCTATTGAACTTTCTATTAATTTTTGGCTCATTCTATTGAGATGTTTAATAGACAACATTCGGTAGAAAAAGTCAAAAGAAGTCGATTTTTCTACCTAACTTAGTCTATTAAGATATTTTCTATAGAATTTCCTCGGCTCAAATTTTCTAAGTTTTTTTGTTTGATTTTCTTGATGAAGAAAAGAAAAATAGAACCAAAAAAACTTAGAAAATTTGAGTCGAGGAAATTCTGTTTAAAATATCTGAAAAGAATAAGTTATACAGAAAAATTGAATATTAAAATATTCAATAGAAATGACTTTTTCTATTGAATATTTTTTATTCAACATTTCAATAGAAATCCAATAGAATTTTCTAACGAATTCACTAGGTTTTTCTATTAATTTTTTCCTTACGTGTTACCCCATTTCCATAAAATAGAAAAATATTTCATGTAATTACCCAACACTTCGCTGTTGAACTGCTCATCACCGAGATAAATCCATAATCACCGAACCTAATACGATTCACTCAAAACATTTTACCACTCCGCCACTGATTTCCCTCCATCAATCGCAAAATGACCCCATAAATTGCATAATTACAACTCAGCAATTCTACAAATTTACCTCAATTAAATATTCCCCTCGAAATTTCACTACTGCATGCACTTTACATTTCGAATTATTGTTTCGAGCACATTAATATAATTATCATCCGTGCAATATCATCTGTTTCCGCCTGAAATCTCTCCGATGAACCACAGTAGCACTCGTCTCGTGTTTCAATACTGATTAAAAATAATGAAAAAAAGCCTGAGGAAGAGAATCGACTAGATTCGGCGTGTCCGAAGAACAGGCAGATCCATGCTGATGCAGTTGTTTTATTTTTCATTTTTAACGTGGCAGCTGTTGGACCATGTCCTGTTCAATCCAGCTCTCTGGATTTACACACCAGCTCCAGTGCAAACACGTCTTTATTCATACTTGGCTACAGAATTTCTCAGCGATACCCAGATTTATTCAAATGTCAGGCGTGTATCAACGGTACTGCAAACAGTTCATACGCTCAAGTATTACTACTGGGTGGCAAATCCACGAGCTAAAAGTGGAATAACACCGAAGGGAATAGGTGAGACTTTTTCATTAAAATTCACATAATTAGAGACATTGCAGTGTTCATTCATTATTCCATTTTTCCATGTTTCAACTAGGAGAATAATTCATTCCGAATCAATAACTGAGTTTCATTCAGTAAAACTCGCAATAAAATCCCACGTTTGATGAGCAATCACGTCTTTTTTATTTGGAAATGAAAATTTTACATTTTTCTGTTTTGATTGGGCAGCGAATGAATTAAATTAAGTGGATGCAATTAGATTAAATTCGGTAGGGAATAGCAGAGGTAAATTAAACTCGTTCCATATTACATTTTGCTTACATAGTAATGCTAATACAGAGTGATTTTAGGGCGAAATGGCGAGAGTTTTATTTCAGTCGTGAACATTTTCTATAAAAAATACTTTTCAAAATGTTTTTCCATTCGCAATTTTTTTGTTTTCCCAACTCTATTCGAAGTTTTATCCGTTTTTCGTGCAACTGCTAATCGATATTTGACACAAAATCACTGGGTGTTGATCTTTCTGTGACCTGGTTGTACCGATCCCTGTTAGCCAAATAAATCGTTAGAATAAATTCATCTCTGAAGATAATTTATTTCGCAGTTGGACAATTTTAGGAATTCGTCGTAGAGTGCTTTCATTCAGCCATTCGGCTGTGAATACCGACTAAATGTTTCATAATTAGTGATATTATTGGAAAATACTGATGATACATCGATACACCATATTTTTTAGTCAAATCTTTGGGGAACTTTCGATCAAAATTGACCAGCAGATTATTTTTATATATTTCAAAACTTAATTGAAGATTGTTTTAACTGAACTTGGTGCAACCGGGGCTTTATAACGCATTCTCTTTATTTCCTTGAATTCTTGAAATACTTACGACCCAGGATTTCTACAGAAGAAAATTTTTAAAATCAACAAATCTGGAAAACTCGAAATTGTTTATTTTTATTGAATCAACTGGATTTAAATCAAATGAATGGGATTATTCACACAGATCGTAATAAAATTTCAGACCAACTTTAACCCGATTTATATTTCACATTAAATGAATAGTATTATATAGTGTAGTGTAGTTGAATAGTATAGTGTTTATTGAATATAGAAAATGTTTTCTGGATTCAAATAAAAACTTTCTTAATTAGGAATCGATAAATTACAGTTTAGACGGCGAAGAGAACAAAATTATTAATAATTAACAATTCTTTATTCACATTAAATAAATCGTTGACCCGGTTCTAATAAAGAATTGATTTGGAATTGAAATATGTTTATTGAAATAAATATACGAGTTTATTAATTTCCAACAAAAATGTTGAAATGAATAGGAAGATTTCAAATTAAAAACTTTATTTGATTAAAATACCCCATTTCTCTGAGTGTACATCCACAATTATTAGTTTGTAATATAAAATTCAATGACGATAAAAAATATTCATGGATTTCGAAAATCACAAATTCATTAAAATCTAATAATTTCTTATTGGCATTAAATAAATCATTTCTTCGATTCTGATAAAATTTTTTCTTGAAATTGAAATATTTTTATTGAAATGAATATACGAGTTTATTAGTTTTCAGCGACAATATTGTTAAAATGAATAAAAAAATTTCAAATAAAAAACTTTATTTGGTTCAAGTACCCTATTTATCTGGGTTTACGTCTATGATTATTAGTTCGCAATAAAAAACTTAGTGAAGATAAAAAACACTCCTGGATTTCGACAATCACAAATTCATTAAAATCTAATAATCTAATAATTCCTTATTCGCATAAAAAAATCATTTATTCAAATCTGATGAAAAATTCATTTGGGATTGGAATATTTTTATCTGAATAAATAGATAACTCTATTAATTCAAATAAGAAATTTCCTTTGATTCAAATACCCCATTTTCCTTTGTGTACATCCACGATTACTACGTTCGTAAGAAAAAATTCAGTGAAGATAAGAAATCCCCGTGGATTTCGACAATCGCAAATTCATTAAAATCTAATAATCCCTTATTTACATTGAATAAATTATTTATTCTCATAAAGAATTTACTTGAAATTAAAATATTTTTATTGAAACAAATATACGCGTTCATTAATTTTCAACAAAAAGAATGTTAAAATGAATAGAAAAATTTAAAATAAAAATTTTAATTTGATTCAAATGCTCCATTTCTTTAGGTGTACATCCACGATTATTACTTTTGTAATAAAAAATCCAGTGACAATAATAAATCCTCACGAATTTTGAAAAGCATAAATTTATTAACATCTAATAATTCCTTATTCGCATCAAACAAATCATTTATTTGATTCTGATAACGAATTTATCAACAATTGAAATATTTTCATTGAAATAACCATGTGACTCTATCAATCCAAATGAAAAAAAATCATTTGACTCAAATACCCCATTTCTCCGAGCGTACATCCACCATTACGTTTGCAAAAAAAATCCAGTGACGATAGAAAATCCTCAAGAATTTCGTTTTCCCTCCTCCAAATGAATGCTTAATTTTCACAGATGGGCCACGACCGCAGCAAAAGGACATCCTAACAATCCGTTCATACATCCTCCTCTTCCTGAAGCAGCTCATAATGATTGGTAACGGTGTGAAGGACGACGAGCTTCAGAGCATCCTCAATTACCTAACGACGATGCACGAGGACGAGAACCTCCACGATGTCCTGCAGATGCTGATCTCCCTGATGTCAGAGCACCCCTCCTCAATGGTCCCAGCATTCGACGCCAAACAGGGGGTTCGCACCATTTTCAAGCTCATGGCTGCTGAGAGCCAACTGATAAGGCTCCAAGCACTGAAACTCCTCGGCTTTTTCCTCAGTCGTAGCACGCACAAGCGCAAGTACGACGTCATGAGCCCTCACAACCTCTACACCCTATTGTCAGAGCGTCTCCTCCTGAACGAAGAGACCTTACTCCTCCCCACGTACAATGTCCTCTACGAGATAATGACTGAGCACATAAGCCAGCACATTCTCTACACGAGACATCCAGAGCCGGAGTCCCACTATCGACTGGAGAACCCGATGATTCTGAAAGTCGTCGCCACGCTGATAAGACAGTCCAAGCAATCGGAACAACTGTTGGACGTGAAGAAGCTCTTTTTATCGGATATGACACTGCTTTGTAATAATAATAGGGAGAATCGTCGCACTGTTCTGCAAATGTCAGTCTGGCAGGAGTGGCTCATTGCTATGGCTTATATTCATCCCAAGAATACAGAGGAACAGAAAATATCGGATATGGTTTGTTATGATTCATTCAATTTAATTACGATTATTTTTTGGGATTTCAGAATTAGTTTATGATGAATTTGTTTATGAGTTTATGGGGAGACTGCGATGAAATTTCAAAGTCCTCGCTAGAGCTACTCTGAGAAAACCGAATAAGTTCTCAAATAAGTTTTGTTTTGGGCCAATAAAATTGTTAGTTGAAAATTACCAAAAAGTTATTGTTTGGTTGGAATTTGAAAGTCTCAAACATGAATAATTGCTCTGCTTTCAACAACAACGAAATATTTGGCTCAAGAGGCGGGTTATTCATACAAGACGGTGTCTTTTCAGGATAAAAATATCTTTTATAGAGGGAAGTTTATCAGAAAATATTTTGTCCCCAAGTTACAAGACTGCTGTCATATCATTATTATTATTTCATTTAAGAATTCATTTTTTTTTATTCTTGAATGACCGAAACGACTGACTGCTATCCCTCGTTTCATATACAACGAGCATTTGTTTGGCTGTTTGGCACAAAAGTATTTTTTTTAAATAATTTTTAACAAACGATTTTTTTGGCATAAGTAAATCTTGTTTGAGAATTTGGCTGTTTTTCTCTCAGAATTTTGGTAGATGATGGGATACGTTGAAAAGTCAGAAAAAATGCCAGCCTAATCGATTTTTCCTCAAATTCTCCAAGTTTTTTTGTTTGAGTTTCTTCATTAAAAGAATTGAAAAATGGAATGAAAACAGCTCAGAAAATTTGAGCCGAGGAAATTCTATAGAAAATATCTCAATAGAATAAGTTCTATAGAAAAATCGAATTCTGTTTTTTATAGAAAATATTTTCTATTGAACATTTCATTAGAATCGGCCAAAAACTAGTAGAAATTTCAAAGAAATCCAATAGAATTGTCTAGCGAATTTGCCATGTTTTTCTATGAAATTTTTCATAGTACTTGAATGGAATAATTCTGGTCAAAATTTCATGATCGATCAGGAGAGAATATTTTCATTCTTTACACACAAGTTTATGTCATTGTGTTGATCCGATATAAATCAAAATATACATCTCTTACTTCAAATTAATTTCACTCATTCATCCATACCAAATTATAATTATTCCAAATTCTAAATTTCTTAATTTACTGTATTCTCATAAGTTATAATTTTTCTATCACATGTTGGTGATGAAGGCAACGATGACTGAATCAAATAAGAAATTATATTTTTTTTTTAATTTTCCAAAAAATTCACCGGATTCGGAATTTATCTCCCACGGATTCGTTTTTTAAGAACATTGTAAAAACTAATAGCTGGGAAATATTGCAAACATTACACATAAAAAAACACGAGGACAATCGTAAGAAAAATCTGTTGTCCCAAAATTACGTAACTTTGAAGTCCTAAAAGCAACTTGAAATTCTTCTTCCAGGTGTACTCCCTCTTCCGAATGCTCCTTCACCACGCAATCAAGCATGAGTACGGTGGTTGGCGAGTGTGGGTAGACACTCTAGCAATTGTCCACTCGAAAGTTTCGTACGAGGAATTTAAACTGCAATTCGCCCAGATGTACGAGCACTACGAGCGTCAACGTTCCGACAACATAACAGATCCCGAAGTGAGACAGCAGAGGCCAATAAGCACAATATCCGGCTGGGATCAGCAGCACAGTGGTAACAATGGTTACAGCAGGCCATCAGCATGGACAGTGCAGCAGTCCCAAGATGTGCAAAGTATCGAGAGAAATTACAAAGAGTACGATGGAATTGAGAGTAACGATAGACTAGAGGAATCGTGCAGCTGTGACTTAAATTCCATCGACAATACCGAGAGCGATGGAAGCCCATCTATTGTCAAGTCACGAAGTGATAATCTAGCATTACCATCGAGTGAAGCTGTTTCATTGGACTCGAGATTGAGTGAAAAGCTGGAAGCACCAGCAGTTGTTGAAAATCATGTTGAAACACCGACGATACAGGAGGAAGTTAATAGCGAGGGGCTTTCGTTACCAACGACCCACGAAACTAGTGAAGTTGTATCGATTGAGAGCTCCAGTGAGCTTTACAGTGAAGTGCACAAAGTTGAGAGCTCAAGCACTGATTCAATGGGACAGGAGGGTGGCAAGAAGGAGGGAATTAACAGGGATGAGCATGTGGACAATGTTGTCGTTCAAGTTGTCGATGGAAATGTGGAATCAGTGCCAGCTGTTGCGAGTGATACCGATGGAAATGAATTGACCGAGAAAATTGAGGACAAGAAGATTGAGACAGCTGAATCGACTGTAACTGATGAGAAATTGCAAGCTGAAGTAGCAAACGAAACTAAAGAAATTGTCGATAAATGTGATGAAGTAATCAAAGAGAACGACACAGCGGACACAAATGATAACGACAAGATCACCCCGGAAACTGACGCGATTGAGTCTGAAGCTCTCACAGCAGTTCCAGAAATCATAGCTCAAGATAAGGACATCAGTCTTGAAAACGGAAATGGTGAGATAACATCTGGTGATTCAGGAGACAAAAAAGAATCCCCAGAGGTGGAGGAAACAGCTTCAATCGAGGATAAGCCTTCAGCTGATCAAAAGGTGGTGGAATTACTCCCTAAAGAGGGCGAGCCGGAGTCTGAGGATGAAAAGATCCCAGAAGTAGAAAATCCAGTTGAAGATAGCGCAAAGAAAACAGAAGACTCATCAGTGGCGATGGAATCCACTGAGCCAGTGGAATCCACAGAACTAGAGAAAAACACTGAGGATGAGGTGAATATCACTGAATTAGAAAACATTCCAGATGATAAAGAGGTGAAAGAGGTGATAGATTTGGAAAGCCCACAGTCTGTTGAAGCCCAAACAAATCTCGAGCCTGAGAAGACTGTTGAATCTGAAGTTAAAGGGGAAGAGGTAGACAAACAAAACGGTGAGATCAATGAGGCGAAGGAAAGCCAGGAAATTAATGGAGTGACGAGGGCTGAGGATGAGCTGAAGAATCAAACAGATGATGAGAGTGTGAATATTGATTCGTCTGAAGTCTCCTCGACTGATAAGGCTGTCAATGCTGATTTTACACCTGATGTAGCTAATGCAACTGTTGACGACAGTGATGATGCCGACAAGAAAGGGGATATTGTTAATGATGTGAAAGTAACGGATGAGAAGGCATTGGTTGAGGGTGACGTCGACACACCGACTGATAATGACAAAAATGATACTGTAAAAAGTATAAATTGCTCAACTAGCGTAGATGATTGCACCGATGTTACAACTGGAGAGACTCGAGTTGAGGTGGATGCATTAAAATTGATAGAGAGTAGTATTGTCAATGGTGAGTGCAAAGCTGATGGTGATGTACTTGATAATGATGATAAATGTGTGGTTAATGGTGATGGTAATGGTAATGGTAATGATGAGAACATTTCTGATAATGACACAAGAGAACCGTCCAATATTTCTACTAGTATAAGTGATAATCCAGATGCATCAGTACGTACTGGTGAGGTAGAAGTAAATGATAGGGTTACTGATAGTATTGATGTTCAAAAAACTGTAGATAACACGACGCAAGTGCCAAATAAGACCCAAATACCAACAATATCTACGGTCTGTGATGAAACTAAAAATATACATGATGGTGTGCCTCAAAACATTAGTCGTAATGGAGATGAATTGGACAATCCACTGGTTAATGATACAGGTTGTAAGAATGGACAGCATGATGTACATCGTAGAGCGAGTTTACCGAATGTTGGGACTGATAATTGTGGGGATGGCGGTGGGGAGGAGACACAGTTACCTGTTCCTAGGAAAAATTCATCACCCCAGAAGAGACCAAGGAGTGCCTCAACTTCCACACAGGTGGATCCTAATCACTTTGGTATGTTTTTAATGCAGTTATTTGTAGTTTTAATGGATTCTATTGAATTTCGGTTGAAAGTCTATGACAAGTCCAGCAAGAATTATGTAACTCTCCTGTTTATTTTTACACAGATATTTTTTTATAGATGAAGTTTGTAGATATTGATTTTTTATATGACTCATTCGGTTGGGATTTTTCCTCTAAGAATTCTTGGGCATCAATTTTCTGAGTTTATTATTTTAATGTTATTACGAGGAAAAATGAAAATACAGAGGAAAAAAATTGACAAATTTATGCCCCAGAATTTCTACAGAAAAATCAAAATCTATTGAATTTTTTCTAGCAAATATTTTTTAACAAAATGTCACTCAATTTTTTATCAACAAAAATCGATTTGGATTTTTACAATATAGAGAGATATTGAGACCGTTATTTTGACCCTGGTGACCCTTAGTTTCTGATCCTTGGTTTTTGACCTCCATGACCCTGATTTGGTCCCTTAATCTGACCCTCATTATAACCCTTGTGAACTTTATTTTGACCTTGGTGACCCTTTGTTTCTGAGCCTTGGCTTTTGACACCCATGTCCCTTATTTGGACCCTTACTCTGACCCTTAATCTTTATCTTTACGATCACACCCTTTATCTCATCCTTGTGACACTTGTTTAGACCTTTAATCTGACCATTTTTACCCTTATTTGGGCCCTTAAAGTGACCCTTGTGACCCTTAATGTTGTGATCTTTAATCTCACCCACATAACCCTTAATCTAACCCTTGTGGCCCTTATTTGGACTCTCGTGACCCTTAATTTCGGAGTCTCAATTTCAAGTACCGAATTTTTATCACCAGAAGTCGATTTGGATTTTTATAATATACCTAGAGCTAAATTCTCCTATTTGAACATATACGAAACTGTACTGATGGAAAATTTCATTTGTCACGCATCCAATACGGAGATTAGTTCAATTTTTAACGATCTTCCAGCGAAGTTAGTTGAAAGCAGAAAAGTTGTAAATTAAGAAATTTGTTGATATTTTATCCCGGAATGACTGGCAATACAGGGTGTCCCAAAATGGATCTGACATATCGTAAGGGTAGCTCGGGGGAGTTATTGAGAGATGAAAACAATTTTGGGCTACCCTGTAGAAATATTTTTACATACTCCAGACTCTCCAGGCTCTGGAGTCCAGAGCAATAACTAACGGATTTTCCCAGTTGTATGCATTGAAGTAATGAGATTAGGCTTTTGAAAAGGTACTCCCACCGTACCACGTCCACCGTAAATTCGGCAAATGATTCCCCTCTCTGCAGAGCTTTATTTGAAATGCTCTTTTAATTGAGCCCTTTGACATTTCAAAACAAGAAGTTGGAGGGCACCAATTAGCCCCGGCATTTAGCTTGTTTTCGCCTCTAATGAGTCAAATTTTATTCCAGAGTCAAAACGAGCAAAACCCGGAAATCCGTCGACCAGGCCAATGTTTAGTCCAGGCCCCAGCAGACCTCCATTCAGAATACCAGAGTTCAAGTGGTCCTACATACATCAGAGATTGCTCTCTGATGTTTTATTTTCCCTGGAGACTGACATTCAAGTTTGGAGAAGTCACTCGACAAAATCAGTTTTGGATTTTGTTAATAGCAGTGAGAATGCTATTTTCGTCGTCAACACTGTTCATCTGATTTCACAACTCGCGGATAATTTGATAATTGCTTGTGGGGGATTACTGCCACTTTTGGCATCTGCAACTTCGCCAAATGTAAGTTGACAATTTATTAGCAATGAAATTTTTAGCAAAATGAGAATAATTTACGGGGGGAGGAGTGGAAGGACAGATATTTAAAGACTCTGACGCTGGATTTGATGATTTTTTCCAAATTTTTTTCCCACAATTTAATTGACAAATTTGAGGATTGAAAATGGTAGAATCTATAGCGAGCACGGAGATAAATATTCAGTAAAAATTACGGAACAATTCACGTAATCCGCAATAGGGAATCATTTTCCGGCAATTTTTTATAGGAATGGAAGGGAAGAAATCTGAAACGTTCAGTGAATTCTCAGATTCATCAAACCGAACAAAGTACGAGATTGCCACATAATTTTTCCCGAAGAAGTAAAATCTTACAGAAGCTTCCCGACTTATTATGCCTCCAAAATCAAAAATTCTTGAACGTTCAACAATTTTTATGAAGCTGGTGAGTTATTTCTACGTTCCGTTCCGTAAAATTTCTCAATCGTTGGGGAAAAAATACGGAACGACTTGTTGTCCCCACAGCGGTGAGTCATCAGACGGGTGGTTAATTTTTACGGAACAAATCGTAGAATTTAGGTGACGACTCGTACAATTTATTGAATTTTACTTCGCTCGCGAATTACGTTTCGAAACGTAATTTTTACGTTTTTTTTCTGGTAATTTTTATTGAATTTTTCTCTCCGTGAGGGGCTACTCACTCCCGAAGTCACGGCGCCACTCTGTTGTGGAATGATTCCGAAATCACTGAAATCAAGTGATTTCAGCTTTCCGAAATCATTTTCGAAATCACGTGAAATCATCTGAAATCAATGAAATCACCAAAATCAGTGGCGCACTGGCGTAGTGCGAACCGTGCAAGTAATTCGATTTTGAAGTTGACACGCCTGCCAAAAACGATAAGTTCGATAACAAGTCTTACTTATGCCAAGAAAATAGTTTTTTTTAAATGATCAAAGAAGGATTTTTTGTGCCTAACATGCAGACAGTGCGCCGGAATGACAAATTTTTGTCGCAAAAATAAATTTAGCAGTTGAAAAAAAATTGCATTCTCTGTACACGCAAGAAATGTCATTTTTAGCACGACTCCTTCGTTATTCGATACTCTCATACGTATTTTGCTCCCGAAAAATCTTTGTTTTATGCGAAACAAGGTATAGTAGTTTTTCGTTTCGACTGTCTAATAATCAGAGACAAAAAATGGACCCTTAAATGAAACAATAATAATGATATAATAGCAATCTTGTAACTTGGGGATAAAATATTTTTTGATAAATTTTCCTCTATATGAGATATTTTTATCCTGAAAAGGCACCGTCTGGTGTGAATTATCCGTCTCTTGAGTCAAATATTTCGTTGCTGTCGAAAGCAGAGCAATTATTCATGTTTGAGACTTTCAAATTCGAACCAAACAAATTCTTTTTTGGCAATTTTCAACTAGCGATTTTGTTGGCCCAAACAAGACTTGTTTGACAGCGTGTTTGTTTTTCTCTCAATGTAGTAAAATGGTAAAACGGACCGCTTTTCATCGTCATTAGCTCAAAATTGGCAGAGAGAAATCAAACGAATTTGTTATTATTCGCCAGTTACTATTGCCAGTTTTGATCTTCATAATTAGACACAACCCGTTTTGCCCAACGTCTATTATTTATTAACTTAATTTTTTTTAAATCACTGATTTCGAATTAACTTTATTTTTCTGAAATCACTAATTTGGAATTAATGAAATCATTCGAAATCATGAAATCATCTCGCGTGACATTCGAAATCAGAGAAATCATTTTTTCCGAAATCACTGAAATCACTCGAAGGCAACTTCATTTCAAAATCATGGTGTCACTCAATTATGGAGTGAGTAACCCCTCGATCTATAGTGTGGTCTGTAAAAGATACTTGGATATCCTTAAATCTATCATGATTAATTTCTCCATTTTATTTTTCCCTTTCAGAGCGAATTGGATGTCATTGAACCAACTCAGGGTATGCCCATAGAAGTAGCCGTGTCTTTCCTCCAGAGGCTAGTCAACATGGCCGACGTACTTATATTCGCAAGTTCCTTAAATTTCGGTGAATTGGAGGCTGAGAAAAACATGTCCAGTGGTGGCATTCTGCGTCAATGTCTCCGTCTGGTTTGTATTCATCCTTAGGTCTTAGTACCCATCCTCCCTAGCAAAAATACAGTCGTTGTTATTCATCAAGTGGTATCACGTCAATGCACAAGACAGCTCATACAAGATCATATGTATCGTCCCTCATTACGTGATTAGTTCATCGCCAAAATAGTAAATTCGACACTTCACATGACATTGAATCATAAGCCTACATTCGATCGCGACGAAATTCTCTTAAAATTCGATTACATAGATATCTTAAAGTATGTAATATTTATTAGATGCATGAGCCATTTAATACAATTGGTATTTATATTCGCTTAATTGGCATACGTTTAGGCAAATTTAGAAGAATAAAAGGGGAAGATGAATTTTTTAGTCGAAAAATTGAGCGAGAAATGGGTAATACTAAAAATCTGTGACCACACATCGCAAATTAATTTTAAATAATTGTTCTAGGCTGCTATTAATGAATTTAAACTTCTTTGAGACATCTCATATAGTATTATGAATGCTCACATATATGTACGGGATTCCCCAAACAGCACCAAAATATATTAAATTACGTGGTTTTGCATCAGGTCTCTTTTTTCAATTATAAAAGTACATCACAGAGTTTTTTATTTAAATGTATGAATGAAGAAATAGGATTTGTTACAATTAATTATTTACAAGTTAGCCTTTAACAATATTTCGGTACAGGATTACCTATTTCTTGTTTTTTTTTCTTTTCCCGTTGCGACTTTTTGTTTATTTGCCTTTTTTTTATTTTTCTTTAAATTGTCTCTCCTAAACGACGTATTGTGAAAGCAAATTTTAAAAATAAGTACAAGTTTTTTATACTCCAGTCATTTCTTGATAGCAACGTGAGGAAGTTTTCTTCTGGTATTAGCTCAGGATTGAAAACGGTAGTAGCCATTGACACGAAATAACTATTAATAATTAATAATTAATAATTAATAATTAATATTTAATAATTAATAATTAATAATTAATAATTAATAATTAATAATTAATATTTAATATTTAATATTTAATAATTGATCATTAAAAAAAAAAATTATGAAGATATTCAAAATGAAATTCAAAAGTGAGTGATAAGACATAAATATCAAACCCCACCAGCACTTAGTATTACACAGGGTTCGTGACGGGAAGGCAGCTAATATGAACCCCATAAACCTACAATATTATAAAAAATTACAATTCATTTCTGGCGTGGTCGCTTAATTTTAGTATTACGGAGAAATGTATTAAAAATAGCGAATCAGTAGAACAGCTAAATTTCGTTCATCTACGTTAAAATACCGCAATTTTTGAATACTCAACATATCGAAATCTATCGCTTGTTTAGGTCTGTACTTGTGCTGTTAGAAACTGCTTAGAGTGTAAAGAACGCGGCAGAACGTACAGCATGTTAGGGCGGCAGATTGGTTCTAGTAATAAATCACAGCACATTCAATCCCTTATTCGAGGAGCACAAACGTCGCCAAAGGTATGTTTTTACGATTTGAATAGGAGAATAGAGATTTCATAGTTCTATGATAAATATGAGTAGAATGCTAGCTTTAGCTATAGAATTCAATTCAATTTTTTTTTCGTAAATTAGAGGTGAGAGTTGGGAGTTTTAATGGATTTATATTTTTAGAATATTGTGGATAATTTGGCAAGTCAATTGAGCCCCGTTAAGGACCCGGAGAAGCTCCTGCAGGACATGGATGTCAATCGACTGAGAGCTGTTATCTACAGAGATGTTGTGAGTACTGTTTTTTCATTTTAATGTCGAGGGGATGATATCGATTTTCTGTTATTGGAAAATTAATTGCTTTTTGCTTCTGAGTGGAAGCTTCGTAATCATATAATTCTTTGAATTATAGAAAAATCTAAAGAATGCCGGGAATAGCTAAAATTTTTAGTTATTCTGAGAAGATTTTCCCTGAAAATCAGGGACAAAGTTTCCATTCTCAGTCATTTTTACTTTAATCTAGTATAATTCAGTAGCGAAGTGGTAAAACGGTTTAAGTCGACTTATCTCCCACTTGAGTTTTTGAGGAATATTTCCGAATCTAAAGGCGATAGCGAAATTTTCGTAATTGTATTCATTGTAGCTCTTAATCGGCTCTACAAAAAGGTTTGGAAAACATTTTGCTATCTCTCTTAGATTCCGAGATATTCATTGAAAACTTGTTAATAGTCAAAATTGACTTGTACCGTTTTACCCCTTCGCTACTGAATTGTACTTAAATTAAGACACGTTTTCTCTTACTTCGAGAAAATCTTACTTCTCAAATTAGAAATATTTTCATTTTGATTTTTTTTTAATTTTATAATTCTTTCGTTATTAAAAAGAAAAAAAGGGACATCAATTTTGAATTAATGTTTAATTATTCCAGAGCCTTATCAGTTTCGAGTGTTCCAACACGCACGAAAAAATTTAATAGAAAAACCTATCGAGTTCGTTAGAAAATTCTATTGAATTTCTATTAAACTTTCTATTAGTTTTTGGCTGATTCTATTGACATGTTCAATAGAAAAAATCAACAGAATTTGATTTTTCTTTTCATATATTTTCTATAGAATTTGCTCTACTCAAATTTTCTAAGTTTTTTCATTCTATTTTTCTTTTCTTCTCATCAAGAAAATCAAACGAAAAAACTTAGAAAATTTAAGCCAAGGAAATTCTATAGAAAATATCTCAGTAGAATAAGTTATATAGAAAAATTGATGTCTATTGATTTTTTCTACTGAATATTTTCTATTGAACATTTCAATAGAATCGGCTAAAAACTAATAGAACAGTTCAATAGAAATTCAATAGAATTTTCTAACGAATTCGATAAGTTTTTCTATTAAATTTTTTCGTCCGTGAAGTTCAAGTTTAAGAATAGATTTTGATTCAAGTACTTTTCTAATTCGAAACAAGGAGATTTTCGGTTCTGAATTTTACTGATTTTGCTCCTAAAATCAAGTAACTAGTTTCTCATTCTCAAAACAATACATTTTTGAGCCATGAGTTTTTCGAAATCCCAAAAATACTTCTGAAAACTCGAAACTTTCTTCTTCTGCGAACAGATGTTTTTCCTCATTCACATTCTCAATTGAAATTCTCTTAAAATCCATTTGTTATGATTTGCAGGAAGAAACCAAACAGGCACAGTTTCTGTCCCTGGCTATAGTTTACTTCATCTCTGTACTTATGGTATCGAAATATCGTGACATCCTGGAGCCACCGATATCCCAGAGGCCCCCAAGTCCAGTGCAATCGATCCAGACCAACGGAGCCAACATCAGATCTGGCAGTCCATCAGGTGAGACCCCTCCTCACCCACTAACCACTAAACTTCTGATCTAAAAATGAGAATCAACTCTATAATCAAGAAATCGAGATGGTCTCATCGTAGACAAAAATATCTCTCAACACATCTTTTATGATTTATCCTTACTCTTTACGTTATTCAGACGGTTACAATTATTATTTCAATTCGTCCTCAATCGAGACACTGAAAAATCATTGACTTACGACAAAATAAATCATTTCTAGTCGCTCAAAACTCTTACGTGTCAGATATGTAATTTTTACACTTTATTATAATGATATCAATTCGTATATCGTAATTTGGTTGGTGAAATTCGATCTATTACGTTTGTTTCGAATTCTTGACTCGAACGATGTGATTATGAGCATGGGTAAAGAATTATCGATAATAATAGCATGAAATTTTGAATAATTTCCACCATTGCAAGCACTAACAGATTGATAATGAATTTAGTAGTGAAGTGGAGTTGGAAAACTTGAGGATATCCAAGTATTTTGGCTACTTTTTCTCCCATGAAATGCTTTTTACAATGATTTTATTATTTAAAATTTGCAAGTCTGAATTTGAATTTCGATATTGCACCATTAGAAACCAATTTGAAAATTTGAGAATAATTAGAAATTTTATTTTTGTTAATTTAATTTAATTTGTGAATAATCAATTTTCCACCATAAAAATTGTTTTATTTTTATTTGAAAAATTGATTTAACATTTGTTTAAACAATGCCAATTATTTATTTACAAATAACAAATGTTTTAAAAAATGATAATTCTGTGCAAAATGTTATTTGAATGACACTGAATATTCACGCTTTTTTCAAATTTTTCTCACGTAATTTAATTGACAAATTTGACGATTGAAAATGGTTGATTCTAGAGTGTGATCTGTATCAAACGGTAAAAGATACTTGGATATCCTTAACAGAACATAACAAGTCGAATTTCTACATCTCTGCATATGAAATTATCTCAATAATGTGTGATTTCTGATTGAAACGTGCAATATACCCTGTGAAATTTTCTGGAATAGCAACTAATTTCCGGGAAAAATAAAAACATGTATCAGAAAATTCAATAGAAAACCTACTACATTTGCTGGAAGATCCTTCTAGAATTCTATCGAAAACCTATTAGAATTTCATTAGAAATTCTATTTGTTTTTGGTTCGATATCTGTAAAGAATTACATAATTTTTGCAGTGCAGTTTTTAATGAATATTTTATAAAGAGCATTATTTGAAAGAAAAATTATTTAAAAGATACAAATCACATAGGAACGTAAAATCGATATTTAGTAGCGTAGTAGCGAAGTGTTAAAACTGCTCAAGTCTCTTTTGACTGTTGTTCAGTTTTTAATGAACATCTCTGAATCCAAGGCAGACAAATTTTTGATATAACCTTTATTGTAGAGTGAATTGAGAGCTACAAAAAAGGTAATTACAAAAATTTTGGTATCTCCCTTAGATTCGTAGATATTCTCCGAAAACTCAGCTGAGAGCTAAGTGGACTTGAATCGTTTTACTGCTTCGCTACTATATTAACTTCTTTCTATAAAATATCTACAAGAAAAATCGCAAAAAAATGTTGCAAAATTCTTAAGAGGAATCAGCAGAAAACAAATAAAATTATTTACCGAAAATTCTGTTTTTCAAGTGAATTCTCTACTTAAAACGAACAAAAACATCAAATTTGACTTGTTATATTCAACTTCACTACAAAATCGTGATAGTTATTTGTAATAGAATCTATATACCAATATATTTGTGTTATTCGTCAACAAAAATAGACTAGATTTAGATGCAGAAGGTCAACCATTTACTCAGAAGATTGATTTAAACATGAACATATTATTAACTCAGAATTAATTTTAATTGAGTATTTTTGAATAGTTGATGTTTCTTGATCTTGAGAGTACGTATTTTAATTGATGAAAAGAGGTAGATTCTGGGTATTGTGGATAGACACCTATTTAGATGCTGAACGAGGGGAAATATTGAATACCACCTTGTAGCAATGGAATAAGAAGCATGTGTGGTTGCACTGGTGTAGACGTAATTATCTTGATTGAATGTATCTGACAGTGAGAGTTTTGATGTTTGTCGAATGTATGCACATTAATTAATGCTAGACACATCTCACATCTCAATCACTTTATTCATTCTCGGTTTCCAACTTTTCATTTTTTTCATTCTGTTCACATTTTTTTTCATGTTCATTTTTTCATTTCATTCGTGTGGAAACGAATATGGAATTTCTTTCTTTGCATTTTCATTCAGTTTCGTTATTTTTATGTTCCCATGGAAATTGTTGGAGAGAAGGAAAATGTGGGAGTGTGTAAAGTGACTCATGCGTTAAAAATATTAATCCGATGGGAAAAAATATTGCAATGCGATGGTAATATTTTTTTGTGGATCTCCGATATCCACTGGAGTATAAATGAGGGTTTGTCGAGTTTTGTTTCATTTGGAAGCACAGAAAGGTATTTTGAAATGCAATAGACTTATCCAATACTGAAACTCCTGGGGTAAAGTTTCGGAATGTTAAAAGTTGATTTTTAATACACGAAGAGAAAAGTTGGGTAAAAATTACCTAGAAAATCGTGGCAAATTGTACTATACGAAAGGTAACCGTGGAGTGAAATGTAATTCAATGACAAAATAGCTGTTTGTCGAGGATTTTTTACGATTCGTTCGGTAAAAAAAACACATCTCGGGATGCAAAAATTATCCTGCTGTACAGTGAAATTTCCTAAACTGATAGGGTATTTTTTTCCTTGGAACCATCTGAAAGTCATGGGGATGAATTGAAGTGAAATTTTACCAAAGCCCGAATAAAAAACCCCATAACGACAGGCCGGAAATATAGGGGAGGGTGGGGTAAAATGGACACTATAGACTTTTTTAAAATTATTCATAACTCAGAATCAAATTTATTAATTGAGATCAGTTCAAGCTCATCACAAAGGCAACGAATTGTTGTTTGTATTGAAAAAAAAATTATTAAGTTTCATCAACATTTCAACCCATCATTAACATTTAAAAAAAAGTCGAAAGTATCCATTTTACCCCAACCTCCCCTACTATTATGCACTCGTATCGAAATATACTATTTTTGTACTGACCTTCACTTTTCCTTATTCGGGAATTGACATTGGGCCTTCTCAAAACTCGTAAAAGTGAAAATAACTATGGAAAAATATCGTTCACGACTAGGGTCATGGGGTTTTTTACTCGCGTTGTGGGCCAGTCCTCGCCCTGAAATATACTACATTCGTCTCGCACTTTTTTTCCGATATAGGGTGAAAAGGTACTGAAAATCGAGTTCCTTCCACGATTGCTTGACTTGTTCGGTAATTTTTCTCCGGACCGGTTGCACCAAGCCCTCATAGCCAAATAAATCGTCAGAATAAAGTTATGCCTGGAGCTCCAATTTTCCAAGTTTTTTCGTTTCGTTTTTGTTAGTGAAAAGAGAAGAAAAATATACTGTAAATTACTTAGATAATTCATGTCGAAGAATTCCTACGATCAATGTCTCAATACACAAAGTTGTATGAAAAGATGAAATTCTACGGATTTTGTCCATAAAATGGTTTTTATTGGCCATTAAAAGAAACGAGCAATAAAGCAGCGGAATTCTTTAATAGAACTGGTCAAAAACTAATTGATTTTCCAATAGAAATTCAATGGAAATGAAATAGTAGGCCCAATATCATTAAATTGAGAAGGCACACGTATGAACAAATTCCATTAAAAAATCTGGCAAATTTATTGAGAAATTCTGTTGAACTTTCTATTAGTTTTTGACCAATTCTAGTTAAGAATTCCGTAGCTTATCTACGCATTTTTTTCAATGGAAAATGTTCTGTAGAATAAATCAATGGAATTCGATTTTTCTATACAACTTTATTGAAATATTTTCTATAGAAATTCTTCGCCTCAAATTTTCTAAGTTTTTCTGTTTCATTGTTTTTTTACGAAAAGAGAAGGAAATAGAGTGGGAAATACTTAGACAATTCATGTCAAAGAATTCCTACAGAAAATGTCTCAATAAAAAAAGTTGTTTAGAAAAATAACATTTTACTGATTTTTTTCTATAAAATAGATTCTACACTGTTAAAAATTTCTTGAATTTTCAGTCACAATGTCATCTGAATTTCCAACGTTGTGAGTCTGAATTCAATTTCAATTCAAAACGTTTACTAAATTTCTCATTCATCTTGAAAATTCAAGAAAATTTGATTTTGCATATTAAAAAACCATTGATTGTTCAATGAAAGCTTGAATTTTCAAATTCATCGTGGAAATTGAACATCAAACATAATTGAATTTTCAATAGATTGAAAATTCAGAGAAGTTATTGCCTGAATTTTCAACATTATCAAGGTTTTTCAGTGCCGTATGGATATGAAGATCGAAAATTACTTGAATATTCAAGAAATTAACTGATTTGTCAATGAAGAATTCTACAGAAATTTCATGTAACTTTATCGTTGTTAAAAAATTTCAAGTTTTTTCACTTGTCATTTCAAGTGTAATTTTCTAACAGTGTATGGGATATTATCGATAAAAAAAAGCGTCGTAAAGTTGCGGAATTCTTCAACAGAATCAGTCAAAAACTGATAGAATTTTCAATAGAAGTTGAATGGAATTTTCAATAGAATTTACTGGGTTTGGATTTTTCAGTGAAATTTTTTCATTCGCGGAATAGTTGTGACGTAACGCATGGGTCAACTCGCAAGAAAGAATGTTGAATAAAGTCTCAGGATTGAAATTGAATAGACGGTAAATCCTGATAATGGTTATGCATAAATGTGATTACTCAGCAGATGGGAATGGTGGTGGAGGAGGTCGTCCACTATTTCCACAGTGGTCACACCACGTGTATCCTCAGTTCCTTCCGGGTTCACACCCCGCAGCCAATGCCAATGTCAATGCGAACCACCACATCAGCCAGCACCACCACCAGCACCCGCTACCGGCTGCCAGGCACACAAATCGCCAGACCCAATCCGGCTATTATGTCCCAAATCATCATAGTAATCATTACAATCATCACCCAAATAATTACAACTATCATCGTCACCATTATTATCATCATCACAATAACAACAATCACCATCACTCGCTTCAAAAGCATAACGATCAGCCCCGAAATATCTATCATAGAAACTCCGGTGTCGGTATGCAAGGTAATTTTCTCCAACTGCTCGAAGAAGAGAGAAAGAATATGAGAGAGAGAAATCTTTTTTTTTCTCATCACGGAATGATTACTGTTGATATATTTACAACTGCACCCCTTCCCTGTGTTACTCAGACTCCCGGAAATGCACTATGGAAAAATTCAATAGAAAAATTTTGCGAATTCGCTAGATAATTTTATTGAAATCTCTAAAAATTTTATTAAAATCCTAGAGAATTGTCGTTAAAATTCTATTTGTTTTTATAAAAATCAATAAATTTCGATTTTTCTATATTAATATTCTCTTAGAATTTTTTCTGTAAGAACACTTGGGGATGAATAAGTTTTTTTCACTCGGATCCTGTAATGCAAAACAAAGCAAAATATAGCGGAAAAAACTTTGAAAATCCGTGCCCAATAATTTTAATAGAAAAAATCTCAAGAGAAAAATTCAAACAGAAAAATCGAAATCTGTTGACTTTTTCCTATCAAATATCTAATAGAATCTGCGCAAAAAACAAATAGAGTTTTAACTAGAATTCTCAAAAAATTTAATAGAATCCTCCCAAAATTTGTAGAGAATTTCAATAGAATTTTCTAGCGAATTCGCTAAAGTTTTCTATTAAATTTTTTCATACGTGTGTTTGTCGTTTTTCGCAGCTTGCTCGTTTTAATTCAGTGAGGAAGTGGCAAAATGAGCTGAAAATTTCAACCGTCATTTTTTTAAACACAAAATCATGTCCACAGATTTCTCTTCACTACAATTAATCAGTCGATTTAGTGAAATTCGATGTAAATAAATTCTATTCGCTTTTTACGTCTTTCTATTGAAAATTCAGTGCCTATTGAATTTATTCGGTTGGTAATTTTTCTGTATAAATCTTTGAGAATTAATCGGGTAAAATCAAGAGAACATCATCAAATTTATGCCCAAAGATTTCGATACTGGAAATAACAACAGAATAGAGTGAATAGAAAAATCGGGACCGATTCATCTTTTTTTATCAATATTTCTATAAAGATCGTTTTGTTGAGCCAATAATTATATACAGAAAAATCACTCGTTTATGTAATTGTTACGTAATTACACACATTTAAAAATTCAATATGAATAATTGATATTAGCATAATGGTCACGAATTTTCTGAATTTTTTTCACTGTGTTTCGTTGGTCTCACATGACAAGATTGAAAACAAAAAATTACGAAAATTGTGAAAATTATGAAAATTTCTATGCTAGAATTAGTGATTCAAGTCGTCCAAAAACCAATAGAATTTCCAATACAATTCCAATGCAAGTTTTAAACGAATGCGCTACGATTTACTCTCCAATTTTTTCAGATTTTTAAAATATTTTCTAACGATTCAATATTGAGATTCAAACTTAAACCTGAAAAGTTTAAATAATAAAATCATTCTAAAATGTCCGGAAACTTAAGGTCAAACGGGGCTCAAATGAAATCCCTGATGTTCGACTGCAAAAGTAGAAATTCATTTCACTGGAGAAAAAAATAGCCAAAGTACTTGGATATCCTTGAATGATCCATACTAATGCTTGATTACTTCCTCATTTAAAAAATGAATGATAATAGAAGAAACCATTGATAGACTTTTTCTGCTACTTAAATTACTTCTCTCCCGAAAAAATTTTTCATTTCCTCTCAGAAGCGTCCATTCCTGAAAACATTTCGTTGAATTATTTCTATTAGAAGCGAATATCAAGATACACTTTGAAGAATTTTCTCGGCTGCAAAACACTCTGTTGACGTTTTGATCCTGAGTCACTAATTTTACCACTTCAGTACTGAATTATCCTCTCTATTATTCTGCGATGATACTCGACTTTTTACCCATATTGGTGTCTGAAATGTGGACCCCTAGATGTTCTCCATCGATGTCTTTCTATCCGTCTTTGTGCCTTATCCGTAGACCCCCAGTTCAATTCCGTAAATTTTGTTTATTCTTCGTTTCTTAATGATGATTTTATTCTTAATTGTTTATTCACAGGATGCAGCTGTTTGAAAGCTCACGCTTCGTCAAGCAGACCATTGCTATTCTTCACAGATTATTCAATTCGTTGACTATTTACTTTATCGATTCCATTAAGTGAGATGATTTTATTTTGCAGCAATTGCATGAATTGAAATTATCATTTCTATGTACATTCTCTGCATGCCTTTAGTCGATCTAACGATACATCAGCTTCAACGCTGTCTAGGAACGTTGAAAAGAGATTCAACGATTTTGTGCATTGATTTTAATACCTTGGGATTGTGATTCTAGGGAGCGGAGGGATCATGAGTCAATCTGGATCTCAGGACGATGGAGAGTACGAAGTCATCATTGTGGACGAGAATAATTCCTCTATCCTCGCTGACCACGACGTCACGTCATCGGGGCCACCTTCTACAAAGGTAAAATCAGTTTTAATAAAAACAAGACGAATAAGTATCTTTCTCTCGTCTTAATACCGTCATGTGGGCTTAAGAACGAGGAATAAATTTTAAAATGGGAGACAAATTTCTCACTATTCCTATTCTGAATTCCTAGATTACTGATTCATTAATCATGTGGAACTGCTTTCCTCATTCGCACATTTTCAAATTTTCGTAGATGAGTTTTATGGATTTAGTTTTATACTTTTGAATGTAAAACTCGTGAGTGGAGATTTTAAAATGTCCAAGTGGGTGAAACAGTCTGTTGCACACTTATGGAGAGATTCGAGAGAAAATCCTAGTTTATTCAGTGGAAAATTCGGGTGGGAATCTGTAGAAATTCTCGTCGTTTCAAACATCGATAGAACTTAATTAACTTTAAAAATCAATATATTTAGATTTTTCTATTAAAAATATGGGCAGATCCACGCCAAATCTGCAGGCCAAAAAAGCCGATGATGGGGATTTTTGTCTCATTTTTTTTCTGAAAAGATGGCGCTTCTCGGACATTTCTAATTGGCGCCAAAATTCTTGATATTTTATTGACAAGTTCTGGGGAAAATTTTCAATTTTAAAAAGATTAGCTTTTCGAGTAATTAACAATAAAAAAAAATGTCTCGTATAAATCTTATCAAACTGAAGATAATGTTATGTATGACGTCTCATTTTGAAGGGTTTTTCATGTTCTTTGAGTGTGCCCAACGGCGATTTGATAGCTTGAAGCCTCGCAGAGGTATTGAGGCCAATTTGGAAAAAAAAAATTTTTGGACAAAAAGTTGCAATTTTCAAAAAATCATAACTTCCTCAATTATCGATAATTTTAAATTTTTCTTTTTTTTTTAATTTTTGTCTAGTCGCCATCTTTTCAGAAAAAAATTGAGACGAAAATCCCCAGCATCAACTTTTTTGTTCTGCTGATTTGGTTATTATTTTGCTATTTTTCTGGAAACATCCCTCAGCCTCTTTTGAGACAAGACAAAAAATACATTGAAAAATTCAGAAAATTTATAACATAGGGATTTTTGTAGAAAAAATATCGACAATTAGATCTGTAGAAATATTGAAATCTATTGATTTTTCCATAAAGTCAGTGTGAAAAAAGTACTAAATTTAGAAATTAAAAAAAAAACTGAGATTTTCTATTGAATCATCTCATGCGTGCATATTTCAATGAAAAAAATCACGATGAATTCCTATTAAATATAATTAAGAGCACAAGCTACGCTTTATCTTCAATTATCATACAAAAGAAACAAAATTATAGAAGAGAGAATAATTTTTGTAGATTGGCACAGATTATATCTAGCATGGATTGCACGTGTTGAAAATCCAGCACGTTCTATCGTGATTCTGATTATCGAGAAAGAACGATGATAATATGTAACACATTGATATTTTAATTAAATAGTTCAGTCTGCGATGTTGAGCATGTGTATCTGCTTATCAATGAATCGATGTCTTGCATTTTCTGGAATAGTCAATTACGATTATGAGATAAAAACGTCTTCGATATATAGTTATACTCCTTCAGCACGTAGAATCGATGAAGAGATTGCAGAGGGAATTACTTATCCTCTCTTGAAATTAATTCTTAATAATCTCGTTATTATTACTTTTTTTTTGAGATGACGGTATTGATTTTTTACTCATTCCCAACTTTTTTTTTGTAATATGAACAGACAGAACAGCAGAAGAGAAATAAATCGTAATATGAGAAGTTGATGAAATTTTTTTTTGCAAGATCTGAAGACATTTCGTCTGAAAATCTCTCGTCCTCAACACGATTTTCCAGTTAACTCACTTCAGTCCAAATTTTTCAATCATCTATGGAAAACGTAAAAAAATTAAAAAATCGAAAGCATTGGATTTGATGCGATGGAATGTCGCGTTGAATGATAACCGGATCTGTTAAATTTTTTGTTATCAAAGAAATATGTTCTTTTTCAATTCGTTATCAATCTATTTCACATTTTCTAATTTTGCGACAATCTTGGAGATGAGTGATTTGGGGATGAAATGCAACGATACTTTTTTCCTAGAACATTTCATGAACCACAAAACACGCCTGACATTTTTTTTCGGATCTACTAGCTCTAATGATATTCGCATAGTCACATGTGTAACATTTTAAAACTTATGTTCTTTATAACCTTGCGAATTTTCATAATTAACGGAGAACTGAATAAATAAATAAATAATAAATAAAAGGAGAAATACATAAATGAGAGGAGAGTATTTCTGGCTGTTCTCACGTGCGAAAAACTTCAACAGAAAAATCTAGGAAAGAGTGGAGCAAGGAGAAACGTTTTTTAACCATTTCAATACTTAATATCTTTATTTAAGGCCCGGGTGTACTATCTTTCGAATGTTATCTGGATTTTGTTATATCTTTCGTAATCCAAAATTGTCAATTGAGTGGTACATCATGTAGAAATACCCAAAAATTATGATAGAATTATTTTTAAAAAAGCATAAAAAATGCTGAACTTTTTCAAAGGGCATTTTTAATTGAGATTCAGAGTGAGTTGAAAAAAGTGGAAATTATAAATATCTGATTCGCTGTGGCAAATTATCTATTTTCTATGGTCGATAATAAAACACTAACTCCTCATGGGAAGTGACTTCTAGGTATCTCAATTTTCAAAAAAGTAGTATATAGTCATATGCCTTTTTTATGTGATAAAAGGGTGATTAAAAAATTCTCCAAAATATTACAACTTTTTTCAAAGAGCCTTCTCCGTAATAAATGTCTCTGTGCAGTGTGGGAAAAGATTTACGAAAGCAGTCTTCCCCCTGCATGATATCGGATGACAGGCCGCCATTTGTCACCGTAAATCAGACACATTTTTAAATTTCTTGTTATTCAATTTATTCTGAACATAAATTAAAAATGCTCTTTGAAAAAATTAAGATTTTTTTCTCCTTTTTATTGATTATTCATTCTTAATTTTTCAAAACTTCTGCATGATGCAGGACTTGATGGACAATTTCAGACGACGAAAGATGAAAAAAAAAAACATCGAGATAACGTTCAAAGGATAGTACACCCCGGCCTTAACCAGAGATATTATGATTTTTAATCGATGAGAAGCGTTCCACTTTGCCCACCTCCTAGGAATTTCTATTAGACTTCTATCAGTTTTTTTTGTCGATACTATTGAAAAATTCCGCTACTTTTCCAAGTTATTTTTCTCCGTTTTTTTCTTTCCTCATTAATATACTATTTCAATATGAGTTCGTAAAAATTTTTTTTCACCCCTGGGAGGTGTAAAGCGTTTGCCGAAGGCGATTGCTACCCTCCCAAGGGTCAAAAAACACTTTTCCGTACTGACCTTCACTGTTCCTTGTCCGGGCATTGGTATTGGCCCTTCCCCAATCGTAAAAGTGAAAATCACTACGGAAAAATATCGTTCACGGCTAGTGTCATGGATTTTTTAGGAGTAGTTGCATGGAGAGAAATTTTCTAGAAAAATTCTAGTACGAGTACTGGAAAAAATTACAATCCACCGGATGTGAAAAATTCTAGTACTGTTAACGTAAAATATCTTGGTATTTCTAGGAAAATTTCTGAGGATTTCTGTGAAATTTTCACAGAAATACAGGGAAAAATTCACGTTTTCCCCAATAAAATTTTTTGTGCCCGCCCTGGATTTTTTTCCTGGCCGTCACTTTGCGCCTCTTTTCCCGTGCTAGCACTAAAAATTTTCTAAACAATGACCATCCGTGTGGCGTCCGAGCCGAAGGCGAGGACCGGCCAACCACTTGAGTAAAAAACCTCATGGAACTCGCCCTGAAATATACTATTTCCCACGAGTCTCGAACCTTATTTTTCATCACAATGTGTGAAAAGTGGGATTTTGCGCTCCGCGTGCTCCACTTTACACGCTGGTAGCATAATATATTATTTTCCAAATACGCTTGACTTTTCAATGAATTGTTTTCATACGCGCTTGATAATCTTATTACCAACATAAGTACAAAACCTTTACCGTCACCTCAACCCTCTCTCTAGCTAATTTTACATTAACTCTTTTACTTGTGATACGAAGCATGTTAATTTCTATTTTCCGGTACTCTCAACGTTAATCCTCTCTGCTTGCAATGCTATGCGTACTAACTACTGGTTCTGAAGGGAGGTAACAGTGGTGTACCTCGGACGCGGACAATCCTCGAGGATTACGCCTCGTCAGAGCCGACTATCGGCACTTCGACTAGACCCGACCAAGTGACAAGAAACACTCAGGTAAAAATTGATGAGAAAAATAAGAAAAAGAAAACTGCAAAAAAAGAGAGACAAGAATTACAAATAACCGTAAGAATCGATCAAACTACGTTCTCCATTAATTTCGTTCGTGATGAAATTGATATGTCACTTTTCGTTGAATCCAACACGCCGTGACTTTCATACATTTTCATTTTTTTATTTCGCTGTCACCGCTTTTGGAATCACGGAAGGCTTACGTTTTCCTTCATTTCTATTATCATAGGAAGTCTGCCTATTCTCTAATAGTAGTGTATCGGTATTTGCATGTTCAACTACATCGTTTTGTCGTCGAGTTTTGTTTGAGTTAAAAAAAATGGAAGAGATCTTATTAAACCTGTTATATATATTTACTTAAATAAGGAGATATTAAAGTTATAGATAGAGATGAACTTTTATTAGAACTTGATAGTCGTAGTATTTAGTGAGATTACGAGAGTGAAAAGAGCAGTGTTTTTTAAAAACAGGTAGCAACCTTCCAGAGATGCACAAAATGCTTTAAAAATTCGGCTGCCGAGTGGAAAATACAAATATTTTTCCAAATCCTTCAAACCTTGTGGATTTAAAAGGAAACACCGAGAGACTTTTATTGTAGAACGGTTTTCTACTAGGAAAAACGTCTTTGGATGTTTTCTTTTAAATCTGTTAGGTCCTGAATGATTCGCAGAATCATCTAGGAGTCTGGAATGAGAATGACAAGATGATTCACAGAGAAAAAAGTTTTAGTTTTTAAGGATATATGCCTGATTTTTGGATACCATGCTGGCTTTGTTACTCATTTTTACGGACAATAATCGTAAAACGATTCAAGTCGACTTGGCTCTTACCTGAGTTTTCTAGAAATATCTCTGAATCTGAGGGAGATAGAGAAATTTTCGTAATAACCTTTTTTGTAGGTCTGAATCCGCTCTATAAAAAAGGTTATGACAAAAATTTTGCTATCTGCCTTAGATCTAGAGATATTCATTGAGAACTGACGAATAGTCAAAGTCGACTTTAACTGTTTTACCGGTTCGCTACAGAATTTCCCATTATTTCAAGGAATTGTTTCATTTGAAATTGAGTACCTGTGTTTTCTAAAACTGAGGTATTTCGGTCAGAAAAGGTAAAATAATAATAATAAAGTCGTTGGTACACATGGGCCGTTGTGGCAACGGTGGTAACAACAAAATCTAGAAAAGTTGAAAGGAAGTTTTAAAAAAAACATTTTCTCAAAATCAGTATTAATGTTCTATGTAAACTCATAAACAATGTAATCATTACTTTTTTCTTATGGACAGAACCCCTCAATCTACTATTCATTTTTAATAAAAAATGAATTCAGTAGCGAAGTGGTAAAACTGTTTAAGTCGACTTATCTCCCAGTTGAGTTTTTGAGGAATAATTCCGAATCTAAAGGAGATAGCGAAATTTTCGTAATTACATTTGTTGTAGCTCTCAATCGGTTCTACAAAAGAGGTTATAACAAGAATTTTGCTATCTCTCTTAGATTCCGAGATATTCATTAAAAACTGATCAATAGTCAAAATTGACGTGTACCGTTTTACCACTTCGCTACTGAATTCTTAATTTATATTTGATTTTGGGAATTTTATCTCTAAATGATAAAAATTTCTAATGCTAAGGGAAATTCTCGTCAGTGACACATACCCCTGAAAATTAATATGTTCCTAAAAACTAAATTTTTTTTTTGCGCTCGTACCCCTAAATGCACGAATATAATTTGATTGCCCCTTTATCTCCAGAGCAATGACTCAAGTGAAGAAGCGATGCACCGTTCCAACATCACAGCAGACCCAAGTCCCTCGGACATCACGACAGATAACGAGAATAAGCATAATTCATCAGAAGAAGCGTGGACGGATGTTAATCTCAACGAAGACGGCGACGCAATGCCCATAACAAATGCACGAGAAGATCCACGAAACATACACAATATGTCACACGTCCACGACCCTGATAGCGAGGGAAACGTCTTGGATCAAGAGACACTCAGAGACCCAGAGCGAGGAGAAAAGCCTTCAGCAGAAATCTCGGTTGTTCGTGTGCCCGAACGTCTGCTGGTCAACTCGTCATCCCCGAGGCCCGACGATCTACCGATCAAAGGGCTCGTCGAACATTTGCCGATTCCAACGCCCTCCAGAGAAGCTTCGTTGACCCAGAAACTCGAAATGGCCCTGGGATCGGTCTGTCCACTTCTTCGAGAGATAATGGTTGACTTTGCTCCATTTTTATCGAAGACTCTTGTTGGGTCACACGGCCAGGAGCTCCTCATGGAGGGAAAAGGTAAATTAACCAAAAAACTAAACCAAACCAATTTTTTTTTTTTTGGTAAGAACCAAAAAATTCATGCAATTGCCTATTTTCGGAAATTACGAGCATTTTCTATTAAAAAAAGTTTCTAAACCATCAATTAGCTACCACAAAAATCATTTGTTCAGAATCGTAACAAATTTATTCGTATTCAGAATTTTACCAGGAAACTAAAAAAATAAAGTTTCCGAAAGTTCAAATTTAATAATTTACGGTTCTAGGAGAAATGTTCCCCGGAAAAATGTTCCCCGGGAAATTTGTTCTCGAAAAAATGTTCCCCAAAAACATAAATTCCCCCAAAAAACTCCAAAAACAAGCCCCAAAATGAAAAAAATCACCCTTCCATAATAGTGAAAACACAAAAAAACCATTAAAAAATACAAAAAAAAGAAGTTCATTCACGACAATGAAAAAACAAATAAAAACAAAATTGTAAGGTCGAAACATATTGACCAAAAAAAAGAAAGATCATTAAATACATGTCATAAGGAATCACACAATATGAAATCCCGAGGTCAAAACAAGTCCGCGTAAAAAAAGTAAATCAATATTAATTCAAAATGATAGAATATTAGAATATTAGAATGGTATCAAAAATAAACACTTACCATCTAGACAAATAAAATAAAAACAACACAGAAATTGGCGTAATGAAGGAGACGAGGAGGAACAATTTTCCAGAGAACGATTTTCCGGGGAACAAGTATCCGGGTACCGATTTTTTTCAATTTTCTAATCTCAAGTTTGGGAACTGAATATTTCATTTTTCATTGTCAAACGTTTAAAATATTGCTCATTAATGAATAATTAGTTGTTAAAATTTGACGATTTCAAACGCTTTGAAATAGCTAATGACGTTGCAGATACGGTCGACTGCTGGACCAATCACAGAATGGCTCAAGCCGACCTAACCCAATCTTTAGGTGCGCCTCGGCCAATGGAGGATGACAACTCCCCACTCTTTTCTTTTTCGACCAATGAAGCGTTGCCTGACCGTCTTTGTGACGTCACAATCGAAAAATTGTCCTCGAAAACGACTGATTTTCAATTAATTATCATAAGACATCTAGACAATATTTCTCCACAATTTTCGCCGTTTAGCTATCCATATGTTACGAGGAATTGGTGAATAGAGGAATTAGAAACAATTGAGCTTCATGCAAGTTCCCTATTGCACTTTTTAAATTATCTCATCAATCCTCTTCCAAAAGTAAACTTTCTAATTTTTTTCAGATTTGTAAAATGTTTTTTAACGGTTTAATATTGAGATTTAAATTGAGACCTGCAAAGTTTCTCTCTATATAGTAAAAAAAATACGGAGGTTTAAAAATTTATCTGTGAATCAATCCACTATATATTTAATACAAGAAATCAGTGCCCTTCGACATAGAGCAACTTAAATAATATTCTCGTATTGGATTTATAGGTAGGATTAAAGTAATAACTCTGTGAATTTAATTTGACTGTGACTCTTTAAGCAGTCGCACGTAGAAGACGCATCTCGATCTTTACTCTAACTCCGGCTGTCGGAGACTAACTTCAGAAAAATAAGGATCACTACATTGGACCACTTGAAACGCATCTTCTCTTTATCCTTTGTTCTATGTTTTGTTCATAGTATTCGTAGTCGCCTACCATGTGAACGCCACGTAATATAAACACAGTTTTAAGAACCTCAGTCTGAAGAATTATATGTGGTGGCACTGAAATGTGTCGAGCTGTGTAGAGATTGCTTTTTGAATACTATTTCATTCCATGAAATCCAATATCTCGTAACTATAAAAAAAATTGAAATAAGAAGATGCAGTCATCTCTTCTCTTCAAATATCTAGAAAAACCCTTTTCTCTTTTCTTTAAATGCCTGGAAAAACATTAACACAATACAGAATTTGAAACATGAAACAATACTGAATTGTCAATGCGATCGACAATAGCACCACAGAACAGTAATGAGCAAAGGTGATACCTATTTTCTCGGTATTCCATTCGTATGCATTGGAGGTGGATTTTTTAGTTATTTAAATTCATGCCTTGTTCGTTGGTGGGTGGAGAGAGGAGGATTAGATCGATGTGTCTTTCGAGATGTATTGAATAAGACATTGTGATGGTAGCTTTGATGATTTTATTTCGTTTCTTGTGTAGGTTTGACGACTTTCAAGAACAGCACGTCTGTCGTGGAACTTGTTATGCTTCTGTGCTCTCAGGAGTGGCAGAATTCATTGCAGAAACATGCAGGACTGGCGTTTATCGAACTTATCAATGAGGGGAGGTAAATATATCAAAAGAATTTTGGGGAATTAACCCTAGTTTGGTCACCATATGAGAACTTGCGACTTGGTCACCTCCGCAGGGAATCGTTGCCGTGTTATTTAGGCCCGAGCGTTGCCGAATTCACTATACTGCCCGGGCGCGTTTAGCGAGACTTCGGCAACGTCGCACAACGGGCAATTTCATTTAACGTGGGAAAAAATTGCCCGTCTGTTAGAAATAATTTTTTTTCTTCAGGAATTGTGGATATAAATAATTTTAAAAAATATTATAATTTTCTAGACACTTGAATTGACGCATTCCAATTTTTTAGGATTTTTCCGCTCAGCCAGTCAATGGTAAGAAAAAAAAATCGACCTGCGGCGTTTCCCTCCTATGGTGACCAAACTAGGGTTAAGGATGTTTAGCCATTGTCAGCAAATCTTATTTTTTCATGTTCACGAAAAATTCTATAATTTTTTTGGCTGATAGCAGAACATATGAAGCTAACTTCTTTGATGTTAAAAAAAAATTAATCGCAATAGTCTCGCCAGAAATAAATGAACAAATTTTTCCTTATTCACGGGCTTTGATGGGATTTATGTTGAAATTTGTAATTCACCTAGTATAAGACTCTAAAAATAGAAATAAAAATAGAAGGTAATGTGCAAAACTATACTAAATCGAATGGCCAGAAAAAAATTTGGGGTACCCGCGCACAAAGAGGAAATATTTGGAAGATTCCATCCCATATAAGCGCATGTTAGCCCATGCGTTGGGTGCATTTTGTCCACTCCATTTCTGAATAATAAACGTGGGTTGGTGGATTGAAATTTTTACAAGATAAAAGGAATAACTTCATCTTTCAGCTGAAAAAAAATCAATTTTTTTTTAATACTTGCGATTTTGGATAAACAACATTAACTCAGTGGAGAAGTGGTCAAACTTGTCAAGTAAATTTGTTCCCATAAATTTCTGAAAGAATTCCGAAACAAAAGAAATTTCATTTGATCATTTCGCCAGGAGTTTGTGGAGTTTGTCAACGAACATTTGTATTGAATGGTAATTTTTCCCATTAAATTTCACAGATTACTATCCCATGCGATGAAAGATCATATCGTACGAGTTGCAAATGAAGCTGAATTCATTCTGAACAGAATGAGAGCTGATGATGTCCTTAAACACGCAGATTTCGAGGTAATTATGACTTTCAGTTCTCAAAGATGTTATTTGGCACAAAATACGAGTAGATCTCATTGAATCGTGTCCTTTCGACAGTCACAATGTGCTCAGACACTTCTGGACCGACGAGAAGAAGAGAGAATGTGCGATCACTTGATAACAGCAGCACGAAGACGAGATAATGTTATTGCTAGTAGACTCATGGAGAAAATTCGAAACATCTTGTCGAATAAGCACGGTGCCTGGGGGTACACAGATCCAATGGCTGCCAAGTGAGTATTCTTCGTAAAAATCGTCGAATCATTGGAATAATTCAGTAGTGAATAGATGAAGCGTTAGGTTTTCGAAGATTTTTTTGAAGTTCTTGTAGCTGTTCACGTATGAAAAAATCCTGTGGAGAATTCGAACATTTTCTATAGGATTTTTCTGATAGGATTTCCTATCGGATTTCCCACAAAATTTCCTATAGGATTTCCTATAGAATTCGCTATAGGATTTACTATCAGATTTATGACCCTAATCCTGACCCTTGTGACCGATTGGTTTCGAGTCTCAATTTTGTGAGTTACTTTCTATAGAAAGCCCTATAGTGAATTCTATAGGAAATTCTATAGGAAATCCCACCAGAAAAATCCTATAGGAAATGTTCGAATTCTCCGTAGGATTTTTTCATACGTGTTATTTTTCCATAAAAATTATTCCCAATAGTGCATTTCGATACGAGTGCGTAATAGTATACAGAGTGTCCCAAAATGGATATGAAATATTGTTAGGGTAGCTCAAAGCGGTTGTTTGGAGGCGAAAACTCAAATGAAATTTTTGTCTTCGACGCTTTGTTTATGAGTTATCAAGAAAAAGGACGGCTAATAGTTCTTTTCATTCTGGTAATCTAGGGAAAATATTGATCGCGTTCGTCAAACTTGAAAATCTCCAGAAAAATAATGAAAAATTCTGATAAATATTTACATTTAACCCTTAAGTGGTCGCATCGTGAGGGAATTCCCGCCAAACCACACGCAACCCATAGGTCGCCACTGTAGAGCGAGTGAGATGCTAGAAAAGCGCGACTAGTTAAGGATTAAGATGATAGATCTTTGAGCCCTCAAAAATGATGATTTATATATAAATTCGGTAGGTGTCCGAAACTCCTAGGGGAATTAACATGGGAAAAAAGTGCCCGAAAATCTAGTAACTCTCAGAGTGAAAAGATCTATTATGCTAAAAAGGAACGCGTTTTCTAGGGATATAACTTGACCCTACCTTAGTCACCATATGAGGGAAAACCCGCCGCGCGTCTTTTTTTTTAAATTACAATTGACTGGCTAACCGGAAAAATTCAAGAAAATTTGACTTTGTGAATTGAAGTGTCTAAAAAATTATAGTCATTTTTAGAGCAATATATTTCCCGAAATTCCTAAAGAAAATAAATTATTTCCAACAGATGAATTATTTTTTCCCATATTAAATGAAATTGCCCATTGCGCGACGTTACCGGAGACTCACTAAACACGCCCGGGCAGTGTAGAGTGAAGTCGGCAACGCTACAGCCTAATTAATACGGCGGGGAATCCCCGCGGAGGTGACTAGAGTGGCAGGGTTGCGTTTGGTAACTAGATTAAGGTTAAATCTCAGAATTTTTGCGCTTCATGGAACTCGAATGAATTCTCATTTTTGACTATCATTCCGCGTTACATTGTCAATATATTACGAATCAAATCATTGAAAATTAAAAAAATAAATCGTGAAAACAATAAATACTTAAAGATTGACGATTAAAGAGTTGAGTACAAGACTATTTCAATCCTTGAGTTCAGTGCAAGAATATTTTAAAGCGAATTAAACAATTGAAGAAAAATTACTCCTCTCAAGTAAATATGTTTCATATATTATAATTTTTTTTCTCAGTGTATATAGGGTAGCAGGTGCCTGTATCGCTCACCCATATTTCTCAGAATTGGCTGAGAATTTTTTTTTATTATGCAAATATTTGATAACAACAAGTAATTTCAACGGAAATTTTCAATTTTCTCCTGTGGAAAAATCGTTAAAAAAATCTAAATCATTTCCTACCGAATTTTTAAAATATTTCGCCCCCAGAATTCAAGATTTTTCAATTTTTCAGTTGGTCCATAATTGAATAGAGTGCGAAATATATGTTCGTTATACATTTCCACATCCATTGCGACCTTTTCGAAAGCAGAAAAATATTTTCATCAGTTATTATTGACTACTTTATCAGCCTTCGCGTTTGTGGGTAATTCCGCCCAGAGTTTGTGGCTAATGCCGCCCAGGGGGCTACTAGACTCTGCAGCTAGAGGGCGGTCGAGTGACAGCTCGATTGTTTGGGGTAGTCGGTGGCCACTGGAACATCGGGTAAATTCAGGATAATTTATTATTATTCACGTGAAATCTTTCTCAAAATGGAGCCAAACAATGGAAACGAAGGATGAAAATCAGAAAAATTATATTAGTTGGTCTGCATTGCTTAAAAAAGTCATCAAAACAAGGTGGGCGGTATCGTACGAATGCCGGGCGGTATTATCCTCAAAGTTCGATTCCATCGCTCACTGGCCGATGGCAATTGAATTACATAATTAAATATGTTTAATATTAATAAAAAATCTATCCTTTTCACATCTTCGAGTAAACACCTCGAAGAACTCATTTTAACCGTTTATAACTCCTTGTAGAGTGCGAGGCTGGAAAAAAGACTCATTTCCCTGAGGTGGACGGTGCAGGTACCTTTTCCCCTAGCGTCCAAAAGACGTTCTCCCACAATACCATCCATGCCCTTATCTTCGGAGATATCAATCACAAACTCGTTTTGAATTCCCTCGATTCATCTCTTCACAGCTGAATTATTTAATCTCATATACTTCATGCATGTAAAGTGTCACGATACTCACCTTTATCAAAGTCTCGACGAACTTGACAGATTAGCTGAGTACTGGAAGCTGGACGCCTGGGAGGACGATGCAAGGCGACGTAAACGCTTTGTACACAATCCCCTCGGATCTAGTCATCCCGAGGCAACCCTCAAAGCAGCTCTGGAGCATGGTGCCCCTGAGGATGCAATTCTCCAGGCACGAGAGGAGTTCCATGCCCACTTGGCAGCGTCACGCGCTCATCAGCAACAACTCCAGTCCACTGATCTCATGGACGATAGCGAATTACTGTCCGATGATAGGGATCTTGATAGCGACTTGACTGGTACGTCAAATTTAATTATGAAGTTATTTATTCGTTCAGGAGGGAGAGAAATTCCGTAATTATTTGAGACGATTTATGCTCAGGTCCAGTTAACATCAGCACTAAGGGAAAACTCGTTGCTCCTGGTATTGTTGCACCTGGCATCATCTCTATAACGTCCACTGAACTTTATTTCGAAGTTGATGAGGAGGATCCTGAGTTCAAGAAAATCGACAGTGAGGTAAGTGGAGCAAATCATTAATTAGAATTCGTGAGCGTAATTGAGATTATTCAAAGGGTGTTTCAATACTCTTTCTTAACAATACTCAGACAATATTCATCGTGATGAATATTTTTTTGCGAGTGGAGCATTTGGAAAATGAACTGATGGTTTGTCTACCGAATTGAATATTGAGAAAACATTTAATACACGCGAATTTGATTTGGGAATATTTAAAAAGCGAATCGGTTGAGCAGAAATTGTCAGAAGATCCATTTCGCGGATTATTCTGGTGATTATGAAAATGGTTTGTGCTCATTCTTCTTGAGCCATTCAGTTCTGAGATATTTTTAAAATGTGTTTCATTGAGAGAAGCACAGGTTTAAGAAAAAAACGTTCGATTATTTACGAAATATGTCGAGAATAAAACAGTTTAGTAGAAATTAGCAAGAAACCATGAATGCTCAAATTTGCTAGAAAAACGTAGCGAATTCGTTAGAAAATTCTATTAAACTTTTTATTAGTTTTTGGATGATTCACTGAAAAATTCCTCCGGACATCTGCGCATTTCTTTACGATTGAAAAGAAAAACAAGTGCAAAATAACCATTCGGAAGCATATTACTAATTTATTAGCAAAAATAACTATACTATATACAATCCAAGATCAATTTCCTACTTGTTTTAATGAAAATGAAGAAAAACGAAAGTGAAAAAAACTTCATGAAAATTCATCGAATTCGTCGTCGACGAATTCTTATAGAAAATTTCCCAAAACGTGTATAAAAAGATGAAATTCTACAGATTTTTTCTATGAAACAGTATCCATCGGACATTCTCTATTAAAAAACCCGCAGCAGCGTTGCAGAATTCATCAATATAATCGGCCAAAAACTAAAAAAAATTTCAATAGAAGTTCAATATAAATCCGAAGGACTTTTCCATCGAATTCGATGGGTTTTTCCATTAAATTTTCTCGTGTGACTTTTCTAAGTCTGAGGACTATTATTCTTGACATATTCTCAAAATAAAGTACATAAAATTTATTCACTGTTATGTCGACCCATCACTGTAGATCATTTGCATTTTTATCGATGGATATGTCCACAATTTTCTCAGAATATACGTAGAATTTAATGATCACTTCACAGAACGCAATTAATGTTACAAATTGTGAGAATGAATGCTCTTATCTCATCTGTCCACTCCTGAAATATATCAGTGTGGACAAGTGGCTGTCGTCTATCAAAATATTCCTAACCATGTTTTTAATTCACATGGTGGGGGTTGCTCCATGCACAGGCACGAATCTAGGAAGAGCGATTATCATATATCGGCCGTAGATCTCGCGTTTGTATAACCGAGGAATAAAACAAACAAAGGTAAGGACCCCATGGGGGCCATGGACTGATCTTCAGGGTCGGCAATTATGAGCCTCCTGCGGGGTCCACGCATATCCCTCCATACACAACCCCCCCTTGTCCCTTTCTCTCACCGTTATCTTCATTTTTTTACCTCCCGGCAGATTATTCGGAGTTCTCTTTTACCTTCATAACCAGCACTTCACAAATTTTTAAAAGAATTTAAGGAAGGGTAGGAAATGAAGACAAGGAGAATTAGAGTCAAATCATTGATTGATTTTTTTCGTTTCTCTTAGTAAAATTGGGGTAATTATTTAGAGTTTGAAGATAGTGGCGATCGCCTCATTTGGTTTGAAATTGTAGCCTTAAAGAGCATTTAATCATGGTTTAGTCGGGATTTAGTCGGTGTTTAGTCGGGGTTTAGTCGAGGTTTAGTCAGGATTTAGTCGGAGTTTAGTCAGGGTTTAGTCAGGTTTTAGTTGGGGTTAGGCAGGATTTAGCCGGAGGTTAATCAGGGCTTAACCAAGGTTTCGTCAAGGTTTAATCAATGTTCAGTGGAAGTTTATTTGACTTGAATATAGGTTCTAAATGGTAAAAAACCGAGAAAATTTCCCGGTCCCTTAAGAAATTCTAGGAAACTGATTTTTTTCATTTGAGACAAATCTAGAAAATCATACATTTTTCTGGAGAATTCTCGGATTTTCTGAATAATTCAAGAAAATTATTCACTTCTCTGAAAATCATTCATAACACTTCCGTTATTTTTTCATAATTGTAGGTATTGATCGGGTCACTTTGCAAAATGACGTTGTTACTTTTTCAATCCATATCAATAATTTCGGAATTATCTACAAGACAAGCTAGAAAAATAAAAGAGGTCTTGAAGTATCCAGAAATATGAAAAAATAGAAAAGTTATTTAACAAAATTTCGAGCACAAAAATGATCGAAATTGATTGGAAATTTGTAATTGAAATATCGTTTTTTTTTCTGTTCAACGATTGGTTTTCTGCGAGAGAACAATAGATTCCCCCCCGTCTCACCTCCTACATGCCCACTCCGCCATAAATACTTTAATAAAAAATTGTCATATCAAATATCCCCTCGAATGCCTCTCTCTCTGAGATGATTCACTAAATCGAATGGCAATTTTCCCTGAAAAACACATCTCCTATCTCCCCCAATAATCAATCGAAATCCACAAAAATACTGCATTAAGAATCATCATAAATTACTCCATTGTGAACTCGATAACTCCATTCTCTTTATCGTGAGCCTTTTAAACTAATTTTCAAGAAATCAACCAAAATGAAAATAAAAGCCCACGGGTCCATTCCTCGTGTATCCAGACCGGTTCGAAATTTCAATTCAATGTCGCCCCCTCCCCCCTTCCCCTCCCCCGCCCGGCATCGCTCGATTCGCGATTTTTTCAGGCACTCGTTAGCCCGAAATAAAAATTCGTGTGTAGAAGTGTGAGGAAGAGAGAGGACAGAGAGGAATGAGTGAGGCGCCGGGGCTGTTTCGTAGAAACCTGGGCGATGGATCACTCGATAGTCGAGTCGAGACTTAAGCGATCGTAATGCGCACGCAGGCGGATACTGAATAGTGGCCCCAGGGGAGAGTGAATGCATCTTGTTTGTATTTTTCGTAACGGGGACTCGTTGCCCAAGGATCGCATTTCCATCCCCCTGTCCCATTCCCACTTGCATCCACTCGTCTTTTTCACATTTAATCGCTCATTTATCTCTCTTTAATAAGTTCTTTTTCGATTATTTTTATTTTTTCGTTTTGTCGTTATTTTTTTGGCTTATTTTATTATCATTTTTTTTTCGTTCGTTTTTGCTTGTTATAATGGCCGATGCAAACGTATTTATCGTGATTTATCGTTTACACCGGGCCTCCTCTCTGGCGAATACGTAAAGATAGGGAATATATGCCGTACGATTACGTATCGGTGAATTATTGATTACCGGTTGAGGGCATTGGTGCCTAAAACAAATAATGATACGCCCTTTTTATTTATTGTTTTTTTCGCGATGTGCCGGTGATTGGAGACGCTTGAATGGAGGTTTTCTTAATTTTTGGTGCCAATTCAATTGAGGTTTTTTATTTTTCGAAATTTTTAACGAATTGTTTTGTTAGAGAATTCTCAGACTCAACTTTCATCAACTGTTATCAACACATATAGAAGTTATGTTGAAATTATTTTACTCCGCAGATATTCTTCTGTTATTCCTTGATTTTTTCTGTTATGAGGAATTTTATGACAGTAGAATTTCCATTTTTAATCAGATAGATTGAATTTTAAAGAAGTTTCAACTTTATTTTTATTGGGAATAAAGGATATTGGATATTCAAATATAATATTTGGCTATTTTTTTTCCAGTGAAATGCCTTTCTATTTTTGTAGTCGAATATGAGAGGTTTCATTTGAGCATTTTCAAACCTAAATTCCCGAACATTTTACAGTGATTTTATTAGATAAACTCTGCAGGTCTGAATTTGAATCTCGATATTGAACTGTTAAAAAACATTTTGAAAATCTGAAAAAAATAAAAAGTTTAGTTTTGGAGGAAGATTGATGAATGAAATAATTTGAAAATTGCAGTTATTGAAAATTACGAGCATTTTCTATAAATAAATTATAATTAATCAATTTCTCTCCATATTATAAAAATCCAAATCGACTTCTGGTGATAAAAATTTGGTACACGAGATTAAGACTCTACAATGAAGGGTCAAAATAAGAATCACGAGGGGCAAACGGGTGACAGGGGTCAGATTAAGGGTTATATTGGTCAGAATAAGGATCATGAGGGTCAAATTAAGGGTTACGAGGGTCAGATGAAGGGTCACAATTCACCATAAAAATCATTTGTTCAGAACCGTAACAAATTTATTCATATCCAAAATTTTACCAGAAATCGATTTAATGCCTAACAAAATAAGGTTTCCGGAAGTTTAAACGACTTGAATTATTGATTTATAAACAACGAATATTTAAAAAATTAATAATTTTGTACAAAATGGCATTTTAATGAACCTAAATATTCATGATTAAAAAAAAAATTTATCATGTAATTTAATTGATAAATTTGATGATTAAAAAAGGTTGAATCTATAGTATGGTCTCTACCAAATTGTAAAAAATACTTGAATATCTTTAATAAAAACCATGAGTCAGTGATTTGAGGGCAGAAATATTCATTTATTTTCTTCAATTAAGCTTTTCCATCTTTTGAAATTAAAGAAATCAGTACAAATGCATTTTTTTGTTTCACCGAAACAAATTTTGATGGTTAAAGAATGTTAAAGTTCGTCCCACGTGAGAAGCAACACTTAAAAAATTCCACTGCAATGTGGAAAACCGTTTTAGAACTATTTTGATGGTGCACAGAATAAAAGTGGAGCATGAAGATTGACAGGTGGGCGTTATCCCATGTCTACACACCATAGATTCTCCACCGTTGTTCAATTTTTTCCCTTAGCAATGCATATGTATGACATCCCCGCGGCATTTGATGTATTGCCAAGTGACGTTATAATAATGCAGCAATAATTACTACCAGGCTCGTTTCACGAGCGTGCACTCTAAACTATACTTTCGTGTCATTACTCCCCTGGCCACAGAGTTTTATCAATACCCTATGATCTTAAGGTGA